CACTACTTGTAGGTAGTTTCTAGCGCCGCATGACGCTATTCGGCCGCAGAAAAGGAAAGTGAGCCACTGTAACACGATAGTGGAGAACCAGTCCAACTCCCACCACGGTGCGACCTCTGAGGTCGTTTGTAATTCATCGCATGGCACGGCAGTGTTGATCACTGACGATGATGATGTTGATGCATAATAGGCTCCGACGATTCCCTAGCTTTGGCTCGGAAAGCTTCTCTATTGCTAAGCGGGGAGGTCGTTTCTGGGGTTTGCAAGGAAAGATTAAGGAAAGGAAGGAGGTGATCTCGGTCGAATTGAGCGCTCCAGAACGGCCGGCAGCAGAGGAACAAACTGCTCCAACAGTATCTGATGGCGATTTGATCAATTTAACTCCTGGGCTACTCGGCTGTGGTGGAACGCAAGACTGCATAACGGCGCCAACTGTGTTGAAAGCCCACGTTGCTGAGGAACAGCTGTTGACCGGTACAAGGTTGCAAGAGATATTCACCATTATCATTCAGTTTGAACTGCTGGAGCGTATTTTAATATACTGAGGCGTCCTACTTGCGCAATAACCTCTACCACTGCTATCGCTATATTTGAGCTCTGTTTGGTGAATCAGAGGGTAGCTAGTTCTCGGTAACCGTGTTTCTATCCTAAACAATTTTGGGAAGGATTCCGGTGAATCCGTCCCTACGCCTATTTACGACAGACTGTCAGAAATGCTTGAAGTCCTTCGTGTAGTGGGAGTCGATGACTTAGTTAATCGATTATTGATCCGTTGAGTAGAATGAGAAGACTTCGCCTAAAGGATAGGCTTATTCAACATATAAGCACAGTATAGACCGAAATGACAAGTGAAAGTGAATTAATGGAAATAGCAGTAAAGCGTAACTTTTACCACATTCACTCCGGCAGGCAAAATGTCATTTGAACCTAACAGAAATGTGTTGTTGGTAACAGAAAATGAACGTAGTGCGGATGAACGATTGAAAATGGTTAAAGTAATTTTCAGTACTTTAGGGTTTGAATGGAACACTGAAATAACTTTTCGTCGTGGACGCAGGAAAGTTTGTAACACCTGATCTAGACTTCGCGGCTACGTAAATTGTAGGGACGAGTGCGTTGTTGTTGCATCAGAAGATTCTGAGCATTTTCTGATATGCTCGTTTTCAGTCTGTTTCGAATCTCTGGTAATATTCTAGCATTTTCTTCACTGTTGTTATCATCCGATAACATTTGAGACTCGAGCTGAACATTTTCTGATCCCCTATCGCCACCTGCGGGTGCGAGTTGACGGATGGAAATTGTTTGGTCCCTACCGTCTTTGAGCCGAATATGGGCATACTCAGGATTGCATTCTAGTAACGTCGCTTGTTCCACAATTGGGTCATATTTTGATGTGCGGTCAAACGACTTCATAAGGACGACCTGGTGATGTTAGCCAGCTAGGCAGAGATGGTCCGTACGATGGTCGACGCTCGTGAACAAACATTCTCTCATGTGGCGTTGAATTAGTAGCCGTACAGAGTAACGACCGAATGGCATGCAGAGCATCGATGAGCATATGTTCCCAATGTCCAACGTCGAGATTACGAGATGTTAGACCGAGTGTGATAGCTTTCCAAAGCGTTCCGTTTAGCCGTTCCACTTGTCCGTTGCCCTGGGGGTTATAGGGAGTGGTTCTGCTGGTAGCTATATGCCTGCTATGCAGAAATTCTTTGAGTTCGACGGACATGAATGAAGGGCCTCGGTCCGAGTGAATATAGGCTGGCATACCGAATATTGAAAACAGTTGACATAAACAACTGATGAGTGTCGATGCTTTCATATCCGGACAAGCGAAAGCAAATGGGAATCGCGAATACTCATCTATGATCGTTAGCAGATATTTGTTACGAGTAACCGAAGGTAAAGGTCCTTTAAAGTCGATGTTCAGGCGTTCAAACGGCCGGGTAGCCTTTATTAGTTTTCCCTGTATATGACGATGAAATCGAGGTTTTATTTGCGCACATACCCTGCACTGTGCGCCAACGGCCCTAACTTCGTTCAACGAATATGGGAGATTTTTCGATCTGACAAAGTGAAACATTCTTCGGACTCCGGGGTGGCATAACGAGGTATGTATGGTCAGCAGTTCGGAAGAATTAGACACGGAGCTACAAAACTGGCGGGATAGTGCGTCGGCAGCTTGATTCTCTTTGCCCGGACGATAAACGACATCATAACTGAAGGGAGAAAGTTCGATGCGCCACCGTAGTACCTTATCATTTTTAACTTTACCTTTATGGTTAGTATCATACATAAAGGCAACAGATCGTTGATCCGTTATCAACTTGAAGTGATTACCAATGAGGTAATGTCGCCATTTTCGTATAGATTCAACTACTGCATACGCCTCCTTTTCAACAGCGGAATGGCGTTGCTCAGATGGAGACAGTGTTCTGGAGAAAAAGGCCACTGGTCTTCCGTTTTGATTTAGGGTGGCTGCGATTGCCACATCAGACGCATCTGTCTCGACTACCAACGGTTGTGTGTAGTCGATAGAAACAACCAGGGCGTTAGCCAGTTCCGATTTCAGTACATGAAACGCCGTTTTCACCGATTCAGGTAGAGGAAATATTTGGTTGTGCACGAGTGGATAAATTTTATCAGAAAAATGTGATATCCAGTGCGAATAGTATGAAAACAACCCGATCGCTCGCTGTTGGGATTTTTGGTTACTGGGTAGCGGAAGATTGCGGAGTGGTTGCAATCTATCGGGGTCTGGTTTGATAGTACCTTTAGATACTTCATAACCTAACAACCGTACAGTTCTTGTACAGATTGTACTCTTTGCTTCATTGAAAATGAGTCCGAAACGCCGCGCCACTTCTTTGAACTTGGCTAAATTAGCATCATGTTCTTCCATAGACTTACCACATATAGTGACATTGTCTATATATGCAAAAGTGTCAGCCAGTTTCTCTTTGGCAATGATTTCATTAATTGTGCGTTGGAAACAAGCAACGCCGTTCGTCACACCGAAGGGTATCCGACAAAATTGGTACAAATTGCCATCAGCCTCGAAAGCAGTATATTTACGTTCGTCGGCGCGGATAGGAATTTGATGATAGGCACTGCGTAGGTCGAGTGTGCTGTATAATTCATAACAAGCGATCTTTTCTATCATTTCATCGATGCGTGGGAGTGGATACGCGTCCAGATACGTATAACGGTTAATTGTTTGACTATAATCAACCACCATTCGTTTCTTGTGACGCTCGTTGGTTGTGACCAAGACTTGAGCGCGCCATGGTGACGTTGATGGCTCTATAACTCCATCACGCAACAGGGTATTTATTTCCTTGCGAATAAAAAGTTGATCAGGAAAAGACTGACGTCTGGTTTTTGTCGCGACAGGTTTACACATTGGTGATAGATTCTGGAACAAAGTCGGTTCAGGAACCTTAGCAGCTGTCAAATTGCAAAGGGAAACAGGTGGTCGGGAACCGCCGAATGGTATTTCTAATCCCTCGTGCAGGTTGAGGAAGTCGTGACCGAGCAACACATCAGCACATAGATGCGGCAGAACGGATAGCCTGACATTTTTGTAATCGAAGTCTTTTAGCTGTAGGTGCACCAGACAATGTCCAAGGGTATCACTCACAAAAGATGTGTTAGCCATAGAGATTTTGCTTCTTGATTCAAGTACTCGCCAGCTATACTTATTGACGACTGATGCTGAGATATAACTCTCAGAACTACCAGTATCGACTAGGGCTTGGAGACGGACACCGTTAACATGAACATGGCTAATCGCTCGTTGTAGGCATACGGGAGCAGACGCAACAGTAAGCGCCGACAACAAAGATTGAGTAGTCGCCGTCTGTGGCTTGATTTTCTGTTTGGAACGACAAACTGACTGAAAGTGACCCTTTTTACCACACAGCTTGCATATGGCATCTCTGGCGGGACAGGCTGTTCGCGGATGTCGGCTATAGCCACAAAAGAAACATTTATTAGTTACCGCAGAAACCAGGATTGTATCTTCTGACTGGGCTGTATCTTGAATTAAGCCACTTTGTGGAGCAGCGTTGCAAGGGTTGGATGAGATGGGTACTTGATACGACAATGCCTGTTTGTATGCCTATTCTAATGCTTTAGATTTTTCTACGGTTTCACGTAGCGTCAACGTATGGTGCTCCAACAACCTCTGGCGGATTTGAGTAGACCGAATGCCCGATATAAATGCGTCCCGTCACGACGTACATCGCCTATCACACTTTGATAATTACAATCAACAGCTAACGTCCGTAACTTTTGCACATACTGATCGAGTGTTTGCTCATTGTCTTGTTTGCATGTGTGAAGAACGTGTCGAGCGAAAATTTCGCTTTTGGTGGGGGCATAGATTGAACAAAGAGTATCGACAGCTTCTTTGAAAGTGGTGCACTCAGAAACGGATTTATAGACAGAAGGAGAAATATAATTGATCAAAAGTTCCAGTTTGTCCGGATTATGCGTCTCAATACAAGATAAAAAATGGGAGAATGTACGACACCAGTGAGTCCATTGGTCGGTTGCATCAGGAGCGTATGGATCCGCGTCAACTCTGGCTGGTTGAGCAAAGCGTTCCATGGATGAGAAATAATATGTTGAATAAATTGTCGTGGGAGTGGATGACTTAGTTAATCGATTATTGATCCGTTGAGTAGAATGAGAAGACTTCGCCTAAGAATAGGCTTTATTCAACACATAAGCACAGTATAGGCTGAAATGACAAGTGAAAGTGAATTAATGGAAATAGCAGTAGAGCGTAACTTTCACTACACTTCGTCCAGTGAATTCGTTGGCAATTGCCTCAATGTTTGAACACTTTGCGTACGTGAGCAGCACGGAAAATAATGCTCATCTCGGTAGACGGTGCTTTGGCATGCGTGAAACATGGTCGATCCATCGTAGTCGATGGTGCTGGATGTTTTTCGCGGTTGAAGTACCTGCTACACAACCGTAAACCCGTTTTCTAATCACTTCTTTACTAGTCCATTGACGGCGGCAGGTGTGAGCGGTGGCATACTATTTGTATTTTTTTGGATAAAAGACTGACGTGCCTGTTGCCGGACTGTACTGAGATTGGACCGCTTCAGTTCTATGAGCGGTTTGTGGGCTGAAAAACCGAACTAAACTGGATGTTAAAAGGAATAAGATAGGAGTCGTTGGTAGTAGCCTGTTTTCGCTCACCTGGCCTGTTGTACGGTGCAAGTAAGGCGACCGGGCGGATGGCACCACGCAACAGGTGGGTTGCCATGAGGTCCTCGGTATTCGTACCGTTCATGTTTTTTGAGGGTATCAAAACCTAAACAGGGAGATGACCAAAGTCCTAAACCAAAGGCAAAGGCTTTGAATCCCCAAAATGGCCCTCAGGATTCCACCGTTCATTAGCCATGAGTTGCGGAATCATCATATCCCAAAAGCAGCACTAATGGAACTGAGATTGCTTTGAAACTTCCCAAAAAAATACTCAGTTTGTTTCGACACTTTTCGCACTTTCGCGGATCCTACAGTTGTAAACAAATGTTATTCTGCCAATCCATAATGTGTCAGAAAACTGAAAATTGATTTTTTTGTTTCAGGATTCTAAGATAACTGGCGTCAGGTGGACGTTTATTGCGTTCCTGTTAACTGGTGACGCTACTTGATAAAGTAGACATAGAACGGTCAGAAAAGCAACCATCTTAATGTGGTGGTCGAGCCTGAGTGCTGCAGTGTTCCCGCGAGCTTAATACGTTTAGCGGTAACACCCTCCGCTGCCTAGCTGCCATTCACCTGAAGGAAGCACGATTGCTGAGATGGTACCAGGTCGCCTAACCTCAGACATGAGCAGTCGAGAGGCAGGGATTAGGTTTGAACCACAGACCTTCCGGTCATTAAATTCGCAATTTGACAACTGAGCCACTTCGAGCTCGATAAGATGTAGAATATAGGAGACGCCTTGTGATGGTATAGTTAGTCTCATATCACCGCAGAATATTATGTAAAATCTGTAAATTCAGATCATTTTCCTTAGAATCCTGATTGTCGCACTTTTCATCGGTCAAGCTACTGTAGTCTAGACGACAAAGAACTCGAACATACCGACCAACAGTGTACCGTGGGTCCCTCGCTTATACACCATTCGCTTACTGTGAAATCATTCACCTATGAACATCACAATAACTGACCGAATGTAAATATCCCAACAACCTTTATTCTAACTTTTCTTACTCCGAGCCAAAGTGCACAGCTACCCTGCTGGTAAGCTAGCAATAAAAGCAGGTATGTATAGGCCAAATATTTATCTCACGTAATGACCGTTTCCACTATCTCGGCAATACTTATGTACCTATTTTCGCTACCACGCTCAGCTCACATTCAAAAAGGGAGACACTATCAGTGTGACTCAACAATTGGATGGCGGCTGGTGGGAAGGTTCGTTGAATGGGGTCGTTGGCTGGTTTCCTAGCAATTACGTGGTCACAATGCCGGACGAGTTAGCCAGGACCAATACTCAGCCGTCGCCCGCTGGACATGATCATCAAATCTTAGCTCATCTGCACAATTTTCAAGATGAGGTAAATGAAAAAGAGAATTTAAAGTGTCTGATGGATTCTTTGCGTAGATTCTTCAACATATTCTCGAAGGAGAAATCAGACAGGTGAATGAGCTTGCACAGCTCGTCTCCTCATTCATCACGTACTTGGAACCACTCGGCCACTTGTAAGTTGATCAAGTCTTCGTTCCTACTCTCGAATTTCTTTAACAGGCCTTTTCTGAACAAGATTTTTCACATGAAGGCGTTGTTGAATCAGGCAATCAATATGCATCAAGCGATCGCGTCGGCCTTGATAGATATGAAACAACGGTAACCGGTCACATTTCCCTCTCTTCATACGACATTTTCCACTTCTAGGCCCAACGAGCCCAAACGTGTTGGAAAACTATTCCTGAATTTCGCATCCACAGTGAATGCAATAGGGTGCGATTACTCTAAAGTTCACCTGTACATTGTGACTGGTTTAGACAAAAACGTGTAAGTCCATCAAAGTTGTTTGGGTCTCGCTACCACATATCCTTCATTGGACTTGATTTCTTTTATACGGATAAGTGGTTTTCCCGAAGGTTTCTCACCTCCAAAATCCGGGGTCATTCTTCTACCGCATCTATGAAGAGTGAATCCACAACATCACTCGTAAAGTGATGACCGCCATGGTTGCCCATCTACACGTATGCGGTCCTCACAAACTACTGTAGAGTTTACTTCACTTTTATCACCATAACCGGTGTGCCCAAATCATGTACAATCTGTCTCAGATTTGCTGCTCAAAGATAATGAAAGTGAGAGGATATGTAAGCATGAACTAAAAGTATTGACCAATCGGCCCGTTCAATATGCTTTGTCCTGCTTTTTTAAGATTAGGATAGCGACGAATTGAACGAGACAATTTTGCTTAGCTTCACTGACTTTTTTCTTGCTACTGGTGTCGCCAGGGTATGAAGGCACTGTGTGGATCCTTATATTGAGAGGCTTATTGGTAAACATGCAGTCAGAAAAAATACGTCGCCGTACCGAAGTACGGGTAGCACATTTTCTTTGTTCGTTTGTTCTAACTAATGATGCATGCCTATTACTGCCTGACGACCATCACCCAATGACTTAACTTGGCTCCTATTTGTTGGTGATGGCAGCAGTACCAGCCGGTATTGTTTCCCTCATTTTGAAAACTGGTGTTTGGACGTTTGTTGGCCGAGTTTCCTGCCAAGTTTTCCGCGGATAAAACACTCATTTTACTTGTCCGTTATTCCTGTTTATCAGTGATTTAATCGAGCGTCATCTGACTTCACGTGGTATCAAATTTCAACTGGCTCGGTGCAAACAACAGCTGTGTCTCGTGTTTGACCGCCTTGGTCGGTATCCTCTACTTCTCAAGGAGATTGAACGCTATCTGGAGGTGAGTGGTTTGTTGACTCGACTTACGTGGTCGTGATTATCAGAAAGCTGGTGCGAATTTGATGGGTCACATAAAGCTGACAAGTGACTGACAGTCTCGGTGTTTTGTTCGATTCCATTCGTTCGATGTATGTTTGGGTGAGACATAAGGATATCGAACAAGAGAGAAACCGTTGTTCACTGTTGTTCTTGTCAATCCGGTTGGTGCCAAGTCTATAGACCTTACTCATCGACCAAGACGTTCATATCTCATAGCTATGTCGTCGGTCGACCAACCCTTTCTTCTTTGCATTCAAGTCAAGACTTTGAGGACGACATTCTGTGCGACTTATGCTCAGACCACCTCAACAGTGTCCGCATTGGACATAATCCCTTACGCTTTTCGACAGCTACACTCATTTGTATATCAATTTGGTTTTGATGAGAGACTCACCTAGAACCCAACTGAATCTCTCGTTTATGATTTTTTAAATAACTGAATATGCTGCACCAGGCGGCCTCATGTTTCACTTGGTACGATATTCGAAATATCGCGACGCATGCATAGACGCCATACACAACTCATGAGGTCGCTGAAAACTCTTGGACACCCTACCTCCGGTTTCACTCTTCTTGGGGCTCATCAGGTAGGCACAGTCCCCGAGTTTTCGTCGACCTTATGTTCTACTTGAACCCAAATTGGACACATTTCGACAACTACACTCATTTGCAAACGGGGGACTCATCTGGAACCCAGCTTAATCCCCCGTTTATGATGAGTAGTGTATTCTGTATATACATCGTGACACTTCGAATATCGTACCAACTGAAGCATGAGGTTGTCTTTGTGTAGCACATTCATTTGAAGAATTTCATAAACGAGATTTCCGGTTGGGTCTCCTGTGAAAACCAAATTGATATGAAAATGAGCGTATTTGTCGAGATCAGTCCAATTTGGGTTCAAGTAGAACATAAGGTTGATGGAAACTCGGGGACTGCATCTACCTAATGAGCCCCAAGCAGGGCGAAACCGGTCGTGGGCTGTTGGAGGGTTTTTAGCAACCTTATGAGTAGCGTGGTACCTCTTACGCCTTTCTTTCATCAGGAGCAGGCAGCTAACGGAAATTTAGCAGTGGACGCAACATGACTGCTGCACTTGCTGGACTTGAGTGAAGCTGGGTTTGGCTGACCTGCCGAGTTTTCTTGGCATCCATCTTCAATCATTCTGAGACTTTTGGAGGCGCCAACAAACTGTGAAGACCCTCAGGCCAACTGAATACGCCTTCGTGCGCGTGCTTTACCTTACGCTCACAGATCACTGTTTGGAACTCTTATTCAGTATCCTGTTAGGGGCGAGATGGCTCAAGTGGTTAGAGCGCGAATTTACTGACTGGAAGGTCCGTGGTTCGAACCCGACCTCTGCCTCTCGACTTCCCCTGTCTAGGCTTGAGCGACCTGGCAGTATCCCAGCCCTCTTGCAACATTCAGGTGGCATGGCAGTTAGGCACCGAAAGGGTGCTACAACTGGACAATTTTCATTTTTCTGTCACCTTTTTTTCGTCTGGTTGATTTGTTTGCTTGTTGCACTTCGCTCCTGCGTGTTGTCCCAGCCGCTACTCGACTCAAAAGGTCTAGGAGAGTTTGCTGCTTGAGCGATGAACAATCCTCGACAGCCTATGGGTGTGGTACTTAGTGTTTCATATATGAGTGGTTTTTTCCTGTGAAATCTTCAATTTGTACCTTTCCACATTTTATAATCAGCATCCTCATGTTGACCGGGAGGATATATTGCAAGCAATGAACGTTTACGGAGAAATAACGGTAAGCGATCAGTTTTTTTAGTTGATTTTCTACAGCCCCACTTCCCAAAGTCGCTGTAAATAAGATTAAATCGCAATAGTATACCCATTTTTGGAACTTCGTAAGATAAAAAGCCTATGCCAGTGCACCTCCTCTATCTTTCGTTCCAGGAGCGCTGTGCCATTCTTCGAAAATTCAAAGAGTATGATATTGATATTCTGTTGTCGACGATTAACTCGTGGCAAGGCGTTGTAAGTCTGTTTAACTTTTGGTTTAATTTCTGAAATTACGCGTCGCGTTCATCTTGCAAGTTGTGGTATACCTCACGTCTTGCACGGCTCCAGTGTGCCAAAAAGATAAACAGGACAAAATCGTTATGAATTTGTTTAATCTTCCATGGATATTTTGGTCATATCTAAAAGCACATCCCTCGAGTTCGGCGCGTACATAATCACACTGGCGTGAAAACCGATGGCACACTCGACCAGTTTATTAACCGGTTTTGCGGAACTATTAAATCGTTGTACCACAAGATTCCCTGTTGTGATCGGTGGCTTCCATGTACTTCAGTCTGAAGATCAGGTGCAGAGGTACGTAATCCCGGTATACTGTGTCTAGACGACGTAAGTGTCACTTGGACATAGGAAGCCTGGGTAAATTTGTACTAGTTCAGCCGTGTTAATCCGTGTATGTCTATCGGTCCGGTGCAGTCACAGAGTCAAGTGCGGCTTCAGAGTGTAAATTTGCGACAAGTCATGCCGTGGCGTATCAAAGCTGCCTAAAGCATTCGCTGATTTTCCGTCGACCGCGCACGTGCATCTCATATCATTTGTGACTCTGACCCGATCGATATCTACTGGTGCGTATGGCCTGGAACAATCTGAGAAAAGCCTTGCGTTCGATTATGATCAAATTCCGAAGGAGAGCGAGTAGTGGACTATTAAGGTATGAGATCGGGTTAAAGGGGAACGGCCACAACAAGTGATATCCTGGCTTGGTCCACGGGACATTTTCTCAGGGTACGGGAGTGAGATTAAAAACTAGGAGATTGACAAAAGGTGTGTTCGAAATTGACAGATTGATGAAATATAGGTTAAACTGGTGAATGGCAATAAAAAAAAGTTTCAATGCGGCTCATCCAGATCTACTGACGGCACAACTCTCGGAGTGACCGATCTTGGAGGAGGGAATATCTCACTGGTTGTTCCGTAGTACTTTGAGACGTATTCCCGTCCGATTGGAAGAGTCAAGTAAACATTTTAGCAGGGGATAACCAAAATGCTGGACCCTGTGAATTTTTTTATCGACAACTCCTGTCACACATCCGAAGGCTAAGCTGGCGATTTGGTAATATATCCTCACAATCAAGCTGCTGAGCGAAATCTAAACTTGTATTCTTAAATGCCTGGGTATTTAGCTGAGCAGCTTGAATACTGAATCCTAAACTCTGTGTGTATATCTGAAATACTTTATATCAGAGTGAATAAATGCTTACGGCGTATCTTTGTGTATGGATGAGGAGATCGAGACAGTGCTACTACTGGAATGTCGGACTTTTGATTGTGTTTTATTGATAATCTACTCATGAGTATACCCGACACTGTCAGTTCTCGGTGCCTACCTAGGTTGGTTTCATAGTCATGTTGCAATCATGCTTCTCCCTTCGAACTTCAATACGGTTCCACTATTCCTGAGGATTTGGTCGTCTTCCACCTGAATACGAAGTGCATAAGTTGAAGGAGGGCTCGTGCGTTTATGACAGACAGTGTGGCTGTATGAGGATTTCGGGCACTCAGTGGGAACTGAACGCCTGATGAAACCAGAACGTTTAACGGGCTGACAAATTACCCCTTAGGCTGAACGAATTGGTGGTGAGGAAGATGAAGACAATGCGTGTGCTTCTTATCAGTGAGGCCGCTTCTCAGGGTACCCCCCACAACGATACTCCTGTTTACTGTGACCCCTTTAGGCTGTTGCTGTCAAACGTCGTTGATACCTATTGAATGGGGTCCCACCTTTCTAGTGGCAGCATCAACAGACGAATCGACACTCTTATCATATGCCACAGGCAGATGTTGGACTTCACATACAGACTTCACATACAGACATTGAGATACGACTTCCCCTGATATGTACACTCCTCTGGAGCGGTCCCTATCAATGAGTTTTGCGAGTAGTCATTTAAACGCAGGACATGGGTAAATATACCTGCCACCACCTAAGCAGTGCTCGCTCGTCAGCGGTTATTTTTCTCTTGGAACCGCACCTTCCTACCCAAGTGCTACTGATTACACGAACTCGTGTTGTATCCTTCCAATCGTCGGACTTGCAAACGATATTGGTTTGCACCCCCAATCCTCGAAGCTTTGTATTACATCTCAAGGTTATGTCATTTCCATCTGATACCGTGACATTCAAACACTTCTCAATAAATGGATGGAACGAAAGTAATCAGTTGCCTGGTTTGCCGAACTCGTGATCAGGTTAGTTTGTAGTGTTCCAGATGCCATCACAATAGTCGTTCAGTTTTTCGAACGCAGTATGAAGTCGCAAAACGTATTCTGAATCGCTAATTGACATGATTAGGATTTCCACTCAAATAGAATCGAGTGGAAATTGATTAATCTGAATACAGACTTGTACGACGGTTTATAGACAAATAATGAGAGATTTTCTGTTAGCTCTAGACGAATTATTCTTCTGATTTCCTACATTTCTTCATCTCTACATGAAAATTTTTTCAATGTTTGGATGATCATACGTCTTAATGTTTCTGATTCCTCAGAGTATTGATAAGCTCGGCGATCCGATCCTCACGCTTCGTGTCGTGGTGACGGACGTGGAACAAGATCCGGCCGATCCTTCCCCTATAGTTTTGCACACGACCACCATCGATGGTGGTGTACGTGGAGGCCAGTTGTCCGTGGTCATGATCTTTCCCACATGTGTCCTTCTTTTGGCACGAACACAGCAGAGCAACGTGTATGAATTTACCGTGAGTCTTCGGTTGTTCATCTGGCCTCCTCTTGGCCAGATGGTAACGATTAAGGTTTCGTCCGTCTCTCAGTTCCTTTTTATACTCGTTTATCATCATCCTTAGCCTACTGAGGTTATGTGGCCAGTGGCCTTTCAGGCATCGCAAGCCTCAAACTATCCAGTGATTGCTGAGAGGGAACCATGACGTGCTTCTGTAATAAACACTCCTGTGAAATAGTTGTAGATTGTTTAGCATTCAGAGTTCGATATCTCTTGAGCTGCGAAGCCAAAGTACGCACTGCATGAACGAATAGCATGTATGAGGATGGATTCAACGCACCGGTAGATGAGAGTTCAGCGATTCGGCGCCTTTCACAGGCGTATCTTTTTGTTCATTCGACCGTTCATTTCTTGAGTTAGCTGTAAGATTTTAAGCGATATTGTCTGACCACCTGGGGTTTCATTTGTACTCCCCGCTTAATGGCTGTAATGGAGCCTGCCATCAGGTGCCCTTGTTTCATTGTGATGAACGAGTTTTCAGACCCCACTGAGGTGCTCGACTTAGAGCGATTGCTCATTGACTACTGTACAAAGCATCAGCAATAAATAAATAGTACAGCGTCTATCAACTAATGAGCCAGGATTAGAGCGTTATAAACTCAAACCAACCATTTAGATGGTTCCTCTGGTTTGAAATATTGATAAAGTTATTTCATTAACTTTTCCACTTTACGTGTCGTCTCAAGACAACGTACGCTATCTGAAGTACTTTAGGATACAGGGGGTTAAAGTGGGGATAAAAAGTATGTTTCCAAAACTTTTGTGGTTGGACTGCGAACACTCAACGTCTCAAGACAGAGATAGCAGCAAGCGATTGCCACATGATAACAATTGACATTTTGAACGGATATCGCCAAACGTGCATTTCATTGTTGTGCTCCGCAGTGAGGCGATCAGGAGACGGATTTTGGATGAACCAGAGGGTACTTTTTTCAAACAATGCATCCAGCATCGCAGATTAAGATGACTGGGTCATGTATCAAGCATGCCGTGCCTAATTTGGAGTGACGGCTACCTAGAGGTGACAGGTGGACGAAGGGCGTAAGAAAAGTTTTGGTGCTATTGATACGGTTCGCTTTGCAGGATGGTGTTCATATGACCCTGTGCTTGGCTGGAGACGCTCAACGATATGGCGGCTAACCGATGTCAGTGGTTTTGATGCTCTCAGTTCTTATTCAGACTAACAGTGCTAGAGGTTGGTAATGTGTTGGAATATTGGTAGCTCGGGTGTATTGGTTGGTAATTGATCAGGTGGCTGTTGATCTGTTCGCCGAGCTTGGCAATTGATTTGGAAACGTTTCGTCACCATTCGAGGAGACATTTTCAGTGCGCTGTTGGTTGGGTAGTTCCTCTCTTCGTGCCTGCGTTTATATAGTCTACAAAGAACAGCCTTTGCGCTGTAACCTGGATTCTGATTGGCCCATTCTTGATCTTGGACTCAAAGAGGAAATCAATAGAACAGCAAGCTACTATAAATAGGAGGCACGCCACAAACCAACAGAGAAGCCGACCACGACGCAATACGCTAGAGGTATAGGCTCCTCGGATCTTTGTGGTAGGCTAGCCCTAGGCTAATTCCCTAGTTCACTGGAACAATCTGTTTCTAGTTTTTTTCTAATATTTTATCCTAACTTGTATTCCAACCATCATACAACTTAGCTGTTCCCCGGACATAAGATTGCGTGTCACTAATACTTATTTATTTTCTCCAGACAAAACTTTCCTTGAATACACTCACTGTGGTCGGATGCTTCGACAGTGATACTGATCTGGATTTGATCGTATCCGGTGAGTACTGTACCTCTCCTGATGCGAATTTAATACCCTACTTATCCTCAGAGATATTTGTCTCTCACCTCGTGGTCACAAACAGGTGCATTAGTTCCGCACGTTGGACCTATCTTCTTTTTACGACTTTTTGCCGTCATGATCTGTCACGAAGTGGACAGTCGTTTGTTCTCTGGACTTGTTGGACTAAACAGAATGGCATATACTAGAGTCCAGACCGCTGAGCAGCGGGTTACTACACTACTGTGGCAAAGTGGGCGGAAATGTAGAGAAGCCTAGAGTGGTTTAGACCTATTGTATTGGTAACGTTCTTCCACGTCATAATTGAGCTTGCTTCCATCACGATAAACAACGTTTCCGTTTCTAGCTAATCAATTCTATCTTTTTTCTTTCCCACCCTGAATATACAGCCTTTTCGTCGAATCGCGAATCGGTCCGCCCTTGTCGTATCGCGCTCAGTTGCACGGACCAGAATGCGCGTGATTTGCTCCTATCAACCCTTACTGACTTAATTCATTATCAGACACAGACTGGGCCGCCGGCGGTTACACGGAGTTCAACTCAAGTGCTTAGTGAAACGGCCGTTGCATCGTCGACAGTAGACGCAGACGTTCGGGGTGTTCAGCTCGACGAACCAAGTGCAGCGGATTCCTCATCGGTTAGCAAACAAGTTAGTATATCTATCGCCTGTTTACGTCCGATTGTTTTTCGGTCCGAATTCCGTGATTGACCTCCGATATTTTCGAAGACACCGGATCTTGGACTAGGGATTGATTACTTACTGTTAGGTTGCAACTGTTCGGTGTGGCTCCCAGTATTAACACTTTTGTATGTACGAAGTTAAGTAATTTGTATCTGTGCATCAACCGTGCATGTTACGGATTGGTGTGTCACTGAAACCTGTGCTGACCAGAGTACGTTTTCTGGGAACCGGGTGGTCCCACACTGATCCATTATTTTCTCAGTGAATGACAGGGATACTCACTTGCTGTTGACACTTAGATTTGCGTGTTATCCTGCGTTGAATTGGGTATTCCAATTACCCGGCCAAATAGCGCATCACAGCCAAAAGTCAAAACAACTGTGCTGTTTTACCTGCGATCCGTTTCCAAGTTCCATTCAGAATGGATAACACCGTTAAAAGCATCAAACAATCAGACGGAATTGCCTCTGAAGCTGTAATCTTGAACTGAGTAGATAGGTAAGAGTACACCTCACATAGCGGGGAAGATGAGCGCCTGCCAACCCTAAAATGGGTATTTCCTTACACCAAAAAACATTGTCTAATGTTCTCCATGTGCTACCACGGTCATGCTCAGCAGATTCTCCCTCCATCCACAATCAACTCAGCTTTATCACTCGAAATAGTGGTTACCTCATTCTGTTTGCCGCCCACGTGGCATTTTATGCTACTGTTCACCTCACTAATGTCCGATCCAAGGATCTGATGTATTCTGTTCAGTTGGTTTTAGTTATTTGTATCATCAGGAATATCACTCTTGTTGATCGAAAGTTCAGTGTTAACATCTCTCCGATGCTCTACTCCATTCTCTCAATCTCCCGTGTCAAACCCGTCTGCAATTGAACTCTGTCACATTCCCACTTCTTCCTACCTTCATCCAAAAGCCGTCGGACTTAGTTATTCATTCTTCAGAATTGTAGCTAATATTGGATGGCTTATTCTTTCATTGACAGCATGCAATGTTCGTTCAATGTTCATGTGCCTGATGCCTCTGAATGAAGAGCTGCCGGTTCAGATCTATTAGGTTCCAACAGATTTCACTATGGATGGTTCGCAGTAATGACTGACCGCTTAGTTGGTATTTGTTGACATGATTTCCCTTAATGAATTTCAAAGTATGAAGCCAGCTGGTCAGTGCTGTGGATTCGAATGTGCCTAATAACCTCTAATGTTTCGCATTGAGCAAACTAACAATATTAACCTTATCGTTCACATTCATGTTTAATCTTCATTTCTCGTTACCCGGTGACTGTCGGCAAGTCTTTCTCACCTGCTTTTCTCGTCGGCACTTTCGTCCTATTTAGTATCTCGTAAGTTCATACTATAGCGATCGATTCTCAGTTGTCCTGACACAGTCGCTCTGATGTGATCATTCGTCTAAATTGATCCGTTTGGCTTGACACAGTTTTCGGAGCCGAGACAGCGGATGTGTAGCGAAATACAAATGATCCACTTCACCTCTTTGCTGTCTGTGATTCGCATTTTTGGCTGTAGTATGTGAAATTCATACACGTGTGATACCCAGATTTTGGCCAGCTGGTAAAGCTGATCGAGGTGTCTCACAGAGTTTATCATCTGTAAGACTGGTGTTAGCGTATCACANCAGTATATATATATATATATATATATATATATATATATATATACTAACGAGGCTTCAACGCGTGGAACGCCTGTAAAGATTCTGAATATCCTATTCTAGCCGTACCATATGAACCACACATGCATTTTTAATTTCGGATAGCATATTGTGGAGAATGGCTTATCATAATGCACTAGATGTGGAGGTTTGTTTCAACATATCTGAAGCCTGATCGGCTCGCTGAGTTCGTGATGAGCTGCTTGGCTCATTTCTTTTCCCTGCAGATATACGAGTCTGTCGGCATGTCGTTGGGGTAGATTTCAATGTGGACTTGTCTGAGAAATGGCTTACAGTTTGATGCGATTTGTGTATGATTCTGGTGTTTCAAGCGTTGGGACTATTCTCCTCATGCTCGCGCGTAGTACCATGGTCTACAGCGTACAAGCTCAAGCGAGGTGTCGACATGATTAGATGCCAGCTGTCAGCTGTTTCACTCAAAGTTAGTTTTGAGCTCAGTTCAAAATAAATTCCGGGTTTGTTGTGCTATGGTGTACGCAAGTTTATAGATGGTTTTAATGGGCACAGGACTTTCGTGTCCGAAGTTTATAGTGCTACGCCTCTTAATTAAGAGACTCGCCTCTTTGATATCATCTCTTATTTCTGTGTGAGTTTTGGCCGATCATTTTGATGTGCATCCATACTGGCAACTTAATCACCACTCCCTCAGCTGATAAGGTTTTCCAGGACCATAAGAAACTCTGTATATTCAACGTCACTGAAATATCCGTGAACTATTGTGAAATATCCGTTTTTTTCACCATCCCATCGTCTTTTGTATGTCCTCACTCTTAGTCACAGAGCAGCAGTTCTGCGCCCCGACCTCCAGCTGTTTCATCAGATCCACACCTTTCGGGCGATACTCAGATTCTTGGCTCCGTGTCCACCACATCAAGTGATGCTGCCGCAGCCGCCCGCGAGACCACACCCCCTTCGCTGAATACAAAACTGAACACAACTACATCTCCCTCTTTGGCTCATCAGAATTCCCCATCATTCTCCTCGGGCGTGCACATGTTGCCCCATCAAATCACCCACCATGCTCACGTTCAGTGGCTCAGTATGTCTGGGGTTCGCCTTTTTCTCGTATTGTTGCTATGCTTACACAATTGAAATTGTCTTTGCTCTGAACTACACCGCTTATGTGGTAAAGCCTCAGCGAGATGGCTCAAGTGGTAAGAACGCGAATTTACTGGCCGGAAGGTCCGTGGTTCGAATCCCACCTCCGCCTCTCAACTTCCCCTATCTAGGCTTGGGCAACCTGGCTGTATCCCAGCCCTCGTGCTTCCTTCGAGTGGCACGGCAGCTAGGCACCGGAAGGGTGCTACAGCTGAACGCTTTAAAGCCTGTGCTACTACTACTATTACTCAGGTTGATGATGCATTCTATGGACCTACCCAAACTACATCCGTCACTAACTCAAGCTATCAAAGGTGTTATTGGGGTATCATGTGTCAAAGTGTAACCGGGGGGTGGTCGTCTTAGCTGTGCTACGCAGACTGATTTCCCCATCGATGAAACATAATTCTGGGACATCAGTGGATTACTGGTATAGATGGTCCACTTCGACGAACCGATGACGTCACATTAACTTCATCCCAGAAGTATTCACTGGCGAGAATCTTCGAACCTTCAAATGCACTATTCTTTCCGCCATTCAAACTGTTCGTCTGCCCGAAACCACAAATCGGATAAGCATCCGTATGTTACGGTTCGGTCACGCAGCGAGCAAACAATATGATAATGCGGATTGTGGCAATACTCTATCCCCAGCTATGTTGCTTGATACAGACTCCTAGCACGGCGAATAGTAAGAAGACGAGAACCTCGGACACAAACTTTAATAATCCAACAACACACGATCAACAGGCGATGCCCAGAGCTTCCGAACCCAAGTCAGTGGAAAGAATGGTATCCTGTACGTGGTCGGATTTAAATTTTCTTGGAGTATCAATAGGCCATTGATTTTTCATAGTTTGACCTTGAAGATGCCAGGAGTTCGCTAGCACACATAAAAACAGCGTTTTCTGGGGGATATTGATATCCCCAACAAATGCTGACGGGAAGCGAATTGGTAACCGGGTACGCACGGTAGCATAATCAGAGTCAAGTTGCCTACGGGAGGACCCGAAATCTTGATGGCGCAAAATGCATAGTGAAACTGAGGTTAGGACCTGAGGTTCAAGGTAGAGCAGACTGTTCTTACTGATAGTCGTCAACTGACAGAAGATTGTCGTCCGCAAATTCCAAGTCCACTAGTTCTCCTCTAGGTATACTCTCGACACCAAGGTCATCTTGTAAAATGGCTATTTGGGTTGGTAATCATGAGGGCTTTTCTTTTCTTAGATACACAAACTGGATTCAGTTAGTAAAATGGGCGGGTTTGATCAAACATTGCTCGTTCCACCCATTGACGGGCAGTTGTAGCAGCAGTTCTCGATTAACACTGCCGAAGAATTTCCTATAATTTGGACCTTCTGTTGAGCGCTGAAGGAACAGCATGGAACTGATATGTGACGACATCCAGTCTAGATCGCAGTCTTCGATAACAGCAGACAACTTTAAAAGTACAGATGTGCAGTCGGCGGATATTTCAAGGTCTCTTACGCACGAGTTCCATCTTGATCTATGTAGCGGGCTCGTCGTGTATATTCGCATATGATTTTAACGGTACAGGATGGAGTCATAAGCTTTGATTGAACTCAGTTGAAGCCTTAGATCCTGTATAGCATCTGTTATCGATAGATTTACTTCCACCTCTGCACGTTACAGGGGCATCCAAATGTGTTTGTGGAAATATTAGGTCGGTTCGTCTCCGAACCGTATTTGAACTCGTGAAGGTTGCAGCTTAGACTCTCCATTGTCCCAATTATCTTCCATAGTAGTGGTCCTTGTCTTCCCGTAGTCAAAATCGAGATTCCTCAAGATCCAGTTGCTGCAACCTTAATTCTAATTTTGGACAGTTATGTTTGGTCGATTGTTACCACCGGTTATTATCTCACATAATCAAATGAGTGTTATTGTTTCTCCCACACCAGCTCCACCGGACCAGTGCCAAAAGGAAAATGAGAAGCCATTACCTCCACGCGTGCTTCGCAGTCTGCACCTTGACGGTCCATTGGACATGAACCAACATAGCTGGTCTAACCGCGTCTTTTCCTACATTAACTTGGGCGGAGGTCCTGCCGGTTCATTTACGTCTTCCATAGGCAATAAATCCACGGTGCCGGATGGCTCCACTGAGGCTCCAACTAGATCCCGTCCCTACAGCCCCAAGGCGGATGGTGTGAAGGAGCTACGACGCAAGAAATCAGGTTCGTCTGTCGACCGTATGGATGGATTGTGTCCGATTGTTCTGTCCAAGTTATTCTAGGTTATTTACAAGTCAAGGGTCTTCCTTGAATCAAAGTCGAGTGTCACTAAGGGCTCTTCTGGCAACAGATTCATGTGATATTTCTTGCCACCATGTTTTACTGCTGTGCATTCGCGGCCTACTTATCCGCTCGTGAGCGATATCCGAATTAAGCAGTGCCACGTGCTTTGGGTCGAACTCCAGAGCTGGTGTAAAGTTTTTTTGCATCAACTGCTATTGAATTAGCTTTGATCAGTGAAGTGATTTACGTGACCGCAAAAACCAACCATCAAGTACTTTTACTGTTCCTTCCACAGTCTGGCTATTATGAATCGGCAAGCTTTGTGAGACTTGGTCTCCCCTCATTCCTCGAGCTAAATGAACTGCATAGAGCCTTTGATTAAGGGCACTAGCGATTGGGCGACGTCCCATTTGTCATCTGTTATCATCCCATCAGAACAGGGGCGGGACTCTGGTGTGCATGGCGAGAAATTTGCCTGTTGCACATAGCTTCTAAAGAATAGCCAGGTCATGATGTGCAACCGGTCATCGGGTCAAGGCACAATAGACGAAGACGCAACCGTTAGTGGTGGAAAATTCGTGGGTTAAATTAATGACAGTCGAGAAGCAATTTCTCAAACACTTGATCAGGAATGGCATCTATATAGGTAAAGGATCATTTCTTATCCTGGACTTTTCCAAGGGATGATTTCTCTTTCCAACGATATCTAGGAGAGTAGTCGAAAATATCGAAGTAGCAAATTACCGATAGAACTCAGTGGAATCCAAACCACCTCAAAAAGTGATTATGCGAACAGACTAACTGGCCACTGTTCACGAGTCTGAATGTTAGTACGGTTGGACATGCTGACTGCCTGTTGTTGCGAATCCTACGTAAGGGATGGAATATTTTCCTAATTCAAACATCGGTACGATAAGTTCGGTGATTTTTTTCCGACCGGTCTCCACGGCACGCTCAAGCAACTACCAACAACACTAACGATAATAAATAAATTACTGTGACCTACTATGACCTAATGTTGGACGAGCGAGCCAGCAGATGCCGCTGGACATGATGGTTTACGTAAATAGGGCAGCAACTGCGTTCCTCATCCTATGGTATTTAACAGCTCCTCTATCAGGCCTTGTTGGCCACACAGTAGCTGCTCATCTGTGGGCAAACGAAGGTGTGGCAACAGCTTCTGGTCAAATTAATTGTTTTCACCAAAAGTCCTTTTCGATTTCCATCGCCAGGCAACATTTACTCTTAACTTCCTATCCTGGGTGCACGCCAAAGTGGCCCTAATGGGCTGCTCGCAGCGTACTTTCCTAAAATACACATTCCTGTTCGTTGTCTTGTTTGCCGAGGTAGATATTTTAGATGCAAACGTTTCATCCCCGCCAGTGTTTCGTTGTATAGGGGTGTGCCGTTGATTGTGTGTTGGGTAGTGGTACGCATGTGGTGACATAAATGTTACTAGACGGAACTGACTCTTGAGTATGAAAGGCGGTCGGTCAGTCCTTTTGGGTAACCTGTTCTCCCATGATGTAATTGTTTGATATCCACGTGAACTTTGAGTCTGACCTCTCCTGTTCTCATCTACTGGTGAATGTGCGAGTATGTTCTATCCTCTGGGTTTTATACTGTGACCTTTGCTGGTTCGTTACTCTGCTAGTCGCTAGTTAAGTATTCCAATTGAGTCGATACATGAAGACCAAGCTGGCAACAAACTCTATGCAGACAACATAAGAATCTTGGCGCTCTGAGGTACCAGACAGGAATAGGGACTATTGGATACGGATACGATCAACCGGCACATTCGACTGAATCTAGTTAATGGATTACTCAGTGCATAGGACCAGTGACTAAACCGAAATACTCACATGATACCACCTGGAATTATACCAGCAAAGATCACAGCGTAGTACTCAGGGAGGTCAAAGACAAAGGTCACTCGGTCACCGACCAATAGATGAAAACAGGAGAAAACGAAATGCGGTCGAAATCTATGTTGACCTAAAATAATCACAATATGGGGCAACAAGCAGCTGCATAGGTCACCAGCTATGCACACTGAAAGGTCGGTCCCATCTAGTAGCATGCATATTGACATGCACTCTTCATTACTCAGAACGCAACCAACAATGCACCGCTGCTGTCCACTTTACATCAGCGCACTTGTAGCATCACCTTGATTAGTGGTGAAACATTAGCAACTAAATTGTCCAGCTAAGCCAGAACCATCTATGCTACCTTAGCTGCCAATGTTCTGATCGCTAGCAGATGCGTATACAATTCGTCGCGGATGTACCTTCAAAAATGGAAGTCGAATATCGTATAGATGACTCATCAGCCAAAATGGTAGGCTTAGTTTCTTTCGATCTAGCGTCCATATGGCGCAGTAACGTGCACGTGCACATTCGTCTGCCAGATCGATTGCACTAAAATTCCACCTTGGATAACTGTTTGTTCCAGCTTGGGGGCAATCACTTTGTAGTACCCGTCAATACGTCGAAGAGAAAAAACAAGCAAACAAAACACGCGACTAACCATCTGCACCTTGAAAGGATGAATTCAGTGGAATTTTGTGTAGTTGGAAACGAGAACGCCGGACTTGCTCGTTCGTATAAGGGAGACAATCACAATCCGGAGGCACAAACTTGTGCATTCCGCGCACGGTCACATGGTCTTGCTAGGGAGGAGGTTTTACAGGAAGCATGCTAAATAGGAGTTGTCTTGTATAAAGATGGATAGTTAGCTAACGGGCATGCGAGATTCCGAAGATCCGGTAAGGGCGACGTTTGGGACTGCAATAACTTAATTAGAGTACTCAGGACTCGTCGGCATTTTTAGTTGGTGAAACCGATCATGATTTCTAAGAATTTAAGTTTTGTTTCTACAAAAAATCTGTGGATGAATTCCATACCCGGTCGCTTTGTACCGCATTTTTGTATTGTCTCGCGTTCATGCAACGTTAAACCGAACTATACAGATAGGTTTCATACCGGCATGGCTGGGAACCACCGGCCACTACCCAAAGTGGATACACTGGTGGATCCTAAGGACCGTTGTCTGATAAAATTACAGCAAGCCTCCAGGTGAGAGGTACATTGAAGGACCAGGTCAGGCCTAGATTCAAATACGCCTGCTGTACAGCTTCATATGCATCGTTGTTAAATGTTGTATTTATGACAAGGGGCACGCCTGTTCACACATTATCACGCTGTCGACTGACCATAGGGTATAATACCATTGTTCGTCTTCTGGATGCCTGTTTGAGCTGCTTGCCTATTTATGCCATGATTACGTTGTCACGCATTCCAGATACCTTCCATCTAATCTGCGGACGTGAGTGTTTTTCCCTCTCGCTCCCAACTTTTTCCAATTGTTTAACCCCTAAACTCTCCACTCTAGCGGCACCAGCTCCCTCGCTGCGTCAATCCTTCGCTTTTCTCTCGTCAATCACACTCGTACACACAGACATTTACGAAGGATTCCGTTCTAACAGCCTGTTTTTGGTCCTCACATCAGCTGTTGCGATTGCCATCTGCCAACATTCTGATCCGTGTCACCTAAAGACACACTGCTTCCCTAACACCGTAGCAAGTTTACTCCACTGTTCAACGTATGACTGCATCAGCAAAAGAATACACTTTAGTTTCAAAAATGGTTTTATGGAATATAGCACTTCCTATACCAGAGTCACTTCTCTTTCATGTTTTTCTTATTGTTTTAAAAGTTTAACTATACAAGTGTAAGGCGCGTACAGCTGAACAATAAAACGCACTTAGTAGCTCTGTACACAAATTGACCTGATACTAATATTGTTGTTTTGCAAACGACTTATGTTTGGTCACATCCGGTTTTTAATTACCTGGTTCGTGTACAATACTCGCCCCCTCCAGATGAAGGCAACTTCTCATCATCTCTGTTTAACTAATACGAGATACGAGATACCCTTCCAGGGAGAGAGAGAGAGAGTCCAGATGAAGGCAACTTCTCATCATCTCTGTTTAACTAATACGAGATACGAGATACCCTTCCAGAGAGAGAGAAGAGAGAGAGGAGAGAGTCCATCCTAGGAAGAGGCTGAACGCTCCGTTTCACGAGGTACTCTGTTTTGGGTGTCAGGCTATCGTACTATCTAAAATCTGATGCATATTCAAACAAACACAGCACCTCTCTCCAATAAGGACGTTCTCCCTAAAAATATAACGTCATTCTGCTCTCATGAGCTCTACTTTTGAATCGACTGAGAAACAACCAGATTCCTCCTTTTTCCCCCTTCAAATAAGGAACGCCTGTGAAATTCTGATAAATTTCGACAATACTACATCATCAACTTTGAAAATCAGGATACGTGAAGGCTGGCTGGCATTATAATTGACTTCTGTCCAATCTGTGAGTTGAGATGCCCCAGCTAACTCAGATGCACCTCCCATGTACTAACTTATGAACGTGAAAGCTGAAGTTGACCTGCGTAGATGTGTTCTTGTGGCTTATCTGCACTGCAGCAAGTCATATCTTCCTTAGCTTAAATGTCGGTTTGTTGTTCTTGCTGACACTAAGAAGACTCTAAAGTACTGATGGGCGGAATCGATCGATAGCAGCTCAGTTGCACGACTGTTGAATACGGAATAACTCATCGGCCAAGGCACAAAACTTATCGGTGGTTTGTTCGCTGAGCCGGGCAGTCTGATTGCGAACGTTCAATCACCAATCGTGATGAGACCCGTGCGTTGTTAGGGAGCGTAGCGATCGGACGGTGGTTGTGGCACAACCATTATATATGTTCACCTTTCAGTCCCGCTTTAACCCGACCTGTGTAGATACAACTGCAGTTGGACTGTTATGCGGTAGAGCGCATTGAACTGTTGACAACTTCAGAGGTTATGTTGATAGTTGTCGTCTGCTAGAATGACCATATAGGAGCAGTAGTATCTCGACGAAACATCACGAAACGTGCCCCGGCCACAATACTTCCCCATCTCCTTCCAGCCATCTGGCACTTGCGGCATGGCGCACTTTCACTGACATCAACTACACTGAACTGACGCGGATTCTCACATTCATGCTCTGATCCCATTCTTAGAATGAGAACCGGACGATCCTACTCAACTCATTTCATGAATAAAATGGAGTTAATGGATGCTCTTTGTGTGAACTGATCCTCCTATTCTGTGAACGTTTGTTCATGTATGTATTCAAGTTACCGACCCAAATCGCTGTGCGTTAATAGTAACAAGTTCTACCCAGCCAATTTTTCTGGCTAACTCAACCCCTGAACCTCTTGTCTGTTCTCTACGACAAGCCGTGTCCTACCGTCTGTTACTTTTTAGATCGCCAAAAGAGTGCCATCAATGTGGACGAAGTTCTTCGTTCAGTGGACAAATTACGTAAATCTTCCCTATCCCCCTAATTGCCTTCATTCTGAATCGATTTGCTTGCTTGGTCATTTCTAGCACTGTGTCTATCGTAGTTACCTGTCACGACTGCATGATTGTTGTTCGTTTGCTTGGCTTGTGTCTTTTTGTTGCTTCTCCTCGCGACTGTTTTTTTGCGCGGTGCACTGGTTGTAGTTGGTGTGCATGCAGTTGAAAAACGTTCTGGAAAGTTGTCGCCGAGGGATTTGCATGCGAGTCTCGCTCATGCAGATCAAGGAGCCATCAGGGTCACGAGCAGTTGGGGGTGAACATGATGCTTACGCTGACTTGTCATTTTTGTTGGTCGTAGTGCGTCATGCTTGAAGAATATCGTCCTGTCCTTTATTACGCTTTTGGGTTTTGTTCGGGACATTCAGCAAGGGTTATCCATGCACGTCCAGGTGAACAAACGTTGCTGGAAAGTTTACCAGAAAGGACTATTTTGTTCTCACTCTTCGTTGTTTCCATTTTCTGGTCGGTAAAATCGGGTGCTTATTTTAAGTCACCATATTGAGCTTTACTCATCGTGTTGTGGTTTGTTTGTCTGTCCAGGTGACTAATCCCCTACTGATTTTGTTTGCTTTCTTTACTAATCCTCTTTCGGTCCGCATATTTCATTTGCCTCCAACTTCGCCTGAACGCCGCTACTCTGACACCACCGTCGCTTATTTTTTCACTACACGGCCATTTTATCACGTTTCACATCCACAATCATCCACCTTTTACATTGTTTTTACACAGACGATACTGAGCGTCGAACGGCTGATGCGGCGCTCATTCTACAAGTTGTGGAAGCCTACTGTGCCAGTGCATGGACTGAGCTTGGTTGCCGTTCCGGTACGTGACCTGGTCTTTCGTACACTACATTCTAGTTTTCATATACTTAGTTTATCGAAGAACATATGTGTGTTTTAACCACCCCTATAAAGCTTGAGCACTTCGGTTGTTTGCCAAGTCCTTGTTCCCTGCATTCCTTTTGTGAATGTGTTTTCAGTAAGGCGAAAGATGAAATTGAGGTATTCTTACCCCGATTTCGAGCATTTCATGACTTAGTTACAGTCGTATGCTGGAGGTGGGTTGACTGCTGTTCACCAACTAGCACTGACCAGAGGATGTTAAAAACAGCCAGGTTGGGTGATATCCATCCGATTCTTGGCGGCGAGCCTTTGAACAAGGCCGATAAGGCAAACAACCGTACAGTTGTTGGTTATGTTCGGCAGCTCTCTTCATTAGTTTTATCGGTTGTAGCCCGTACTCTGCTTTGCTGAGATGTCACCGTCGACCTTAACAATATGATCCATGACATTACCAGAGCCGATTCGGCCCTAAATAAACGGGTTCTGATAATTCGCAATGCACACTTTCACCAATAAAATAGGTGACTAGGGTACTTATGTTGTTGGCTGCATGCGCAACCAGCAAGCTCTTGGCTGGTAGCTTAGATGGCGCTGAATCAAACAGTTTGTCAAGATGGACTCTCTTTGGCTCCTGGCAGCCAACCCCACAGGACAAGATTTCAGTGGTGCTGCCACTCTTAGTCCCATGCTTTCGACTAAAGTAGCTCTTCTTGTGTTGAACTGTAAGGCCAAAAGATGTAGCTTGGTCGGTTATCGTCTTTCATCGCCTTTAAACTTAACTAGGTGTGGCGGCACCTTGACTGTCGACACCATGATTCATGACTATCCAACAAGACACATGATTTCTGTGACGTTTTGTCCGGTTTTGTACATTTTGCTCAACCTTAGATCGACGTGTTGTTGGAATTGGTATTACCACCTCCGAATGGTCACTTAAAAAGCCTGGTTTTACTCTTTCCTCTTTTCAGTTGAGGCCGGCCAACTGAATAAGAAGGACTCAAACAGCCGTCTGATCTCTACTGTGATCTCCCCTACGGAGAGTAAAACGTTAATACAGCAGTTCTCACCATCTTTGAGCTTACAAAGTGGATCGGAGCCCCAGAGGCATTCGACTGCGATCATTCCTACTGAACTCGCATTTACTGGACGAGGTGACCAGGATGCTTCTTTGCTTGTTAACCGTGGTGGTTTGGCGAAACGCTCTGGTTCGAAGAACAAGGCGGACCTGTTACAGGCTCCCGTTTGCTCGGGTGATCAAAGCGTACCTTCGCTTCATTCAACATATTCGAATGCCCCTGGAGACTCCGTTGTTCTCTCAATGTCTCCTCCGCCAGTAATATTGCCCACTCGGAGCGGGCGCCGTCTGTAAATCCGCTTCGCAGTGCTCCCATCAGCTTCACATGATTTCACTTCATTTATCGATCCGTCAAGCACATTTGCATGGCTTTCGTACATTTTAATTTGCAGCTCCTTTTGTTCGCCAATACCATTAGCATTCACCAGTTTTATCCCACCGTAACTTTTAGTCACGTTTTATTGTTTTTTCTTTATATCCTACCTCACTTTGCCTAGAACCCCTTTTAGTTGTGTTTTCTCTCTCATTCGAGATCAAATTATGAATAGTTTTTCCCTTTTTTGTTTTTCACTCGCTGCCAACTTACATTTGAGACTTTTTCCAAAGAAAGTGATCGTCCATTTTAACTGGCTTTCATAGAACCTATATATATATATTTGACCCACAGACTACACTTCTTGCTTGGGGTTTCCTCGGTGTTTGTGTCTACCGATAATTTGGGGTTACCTGGTTCTGCTGTTGTAGATATGGTTTTTCAGTCGACATTAGTCAAACTGCCACCGTTAACCGCTAATACGTCAATATTAATCTTTCACCCGACCCAAAGCTGGCACCTTGATGGTCGGGCTTGAGTGCTGCAATGATCCCACGGGCTACACCGGCTGGACCTCTGTTCCATAAGCTGCAACCATGATACGAAGGCCAAAGGGGAGCACCCAGACCTAGAGCTGCGAGACCTCGAACTACGAGTCATCGTGCTGCTCGGTACTGTCCTTTGCGATAGGTATTGAGGTGTTCCACGAAAGTGACCAGATGTCCATATTTATGAAAGCAGTGATGCTTGCTGCCTTCCTCTAGGAAGGACGGGTTAGAAAAGGTCAGTCCTAAAATCCCCGCACTCCGATCGCCCAGTGAGTGACCGTGACCGACGGTGCACTGTTCACTATGGTCGAAATACTTTAAAAAACAAAGAGTCAGATGCTCCTCAGAAGGCACCTGCTGTGCGCAGCCAAATCAGCAGTGAGACTTCTTGCGCCTTTGGGTTAGGCCAACCCATTGCAGTCGAGCAAGTCAGACCGTCTAGGGGCAGATTCACAAAAGAAAACTCTACTGCCTTCTGCCACGCAGGTCAAACCTTTTAATCATAGGTTAGGGGCAAGATCTGCTTCGTGAGTGAGACTTTTCAGCCAGAGGCTCAAGGTGGGGTACCTCAACCAAACCCAGTTCCTCGGCTTGGGCAACCGGGAAGTATCATTTGCCCGCACAGTTCCGTGTCCACCGATGTCCGTCCTCAACACCGCATATGCAAACGTTGCTGGGTCATCTGACTGTCAGTTATTGATGGGCCTTATGCACCTCGCTGCCTATTAACAATTAACGAAATAACACTGGTAAATCCTCGAGATACTTTCTACATAGGAACTTCCAACTTCCGTCCTCTGTGCCAAGTTGGCAAACAAGCAGTACTCACTGAAGCCTTATACTCCCTTAAAATTGATGTACTGTCTCTGATACATTGATAACCGCAAGCGTGTTGATGCATCTCAAAACGCCAAAGATGAACTGAGATCCTCCACATAAAACGGTGCCTATTTGTGGTATAGATTTATACCTCAACGGATACCTTCTATCGAGTGTCCTCCGGTTCCATCCGCTCAGCAAGAAGCACTAACATTTTGATCCTTGCGGGCGATGTGAGTGCTCAAATGGGTCGTCTGATCTCCTTGGAATCACATTTGGGCAGTCGATGTTCGCATTGCGTAACCTGGCGACCACCAACCGCAAATCAACCGTGGACCCAGCTGGATCATAAGGCCATCAGCCACCGGTGGAGAGCCACAATTCAAGACTCATTCCTGAGCACACAGCCTGGTTCCGATCACACCATGGTGCGTGTCGCCAGACAGTTCATTTCCCTCAGGCCCTCGCAAGTCAGTTAGAAGCATACCAATCCGCCATCTTCGAAGAACTGCCATCGCTCAACAGTATCGATCTGAGCTGGCTCAACAACTGTCTGCAGTACACCAATACTGTGCTGGTAGTGAGCACGCGGACGAAAGCTGTCAAACCTGAAAGAAGCTATGCAAGCAGCGTTGAGTGCTGTCTGTATGACTTGTCAGACTCCACCACATGACCGCTAGATGTCGTCGAGGTCGCTATCCATGACTGATTCCAGGAAATTCGTACCATCGGGGGACGAGTACGAATGTGCACGCAAATACCTTAAACGCCGAATAGTTGGAATTTTAAGAAAAGATCGAAACCTCTGGAGATGGAGAAGGCTTTTGGTACCAGAAACAGCCGTTGCACGACCGATTGGCTCTAGAGGAGCAACAGTCAGTTAAATGACAATTTAAAAAGTTGGCTCAATACTTCACTTGCAAAGACATCTACTGGAAACATTGGTCGAACACTTCGAAGAACGGTTTAGCCAGATTCCTTTAACACAACCTCTGGTGATGGCGCGTGCGGGTGAACGGAATGTGAACCCTACTCACCCCTACGAAACATCCACACTGAAACTTGGGAAGGTGCCAGGACCGATGGTCTCTATCCAGCCTTGCTCAAAGAAGGCGGTAACCTCGTGACCCACCTAATAGCTGATTGGTGCGATATGGAGTGAACAGAAAGTACCTGCAGATTGGGGCATGTCAACAGTTATTCTCATCTTCAAAAAGTATACGCAGACGCTGTGTGTAAATCACCGTGGCATCGAAGGTACTCTTTGGTCTTATTCTTGAAGGTTGAGTGAACACGGGGAGAGACAGACCCATAACCGATTTAGGCTCCGTCCTGCAAGACGATGCATTGGTCATATTCTCACTCTCCGACAGATTTCGGAACAGCAACACTGATTCTAGAAACCAACAATGGTTGTGTTCCTTGACTTGAAATCTACCTTGGGCTCTGTGAACTGTCAAGCACTCAAAAGTGTCCCTCATAAATTCTTGACCCTCAAGGTGCTGTACGCCAACTCCTGCGGACGTGCGAAGGTCTCATCTGAGGTTGCTACATCAAGCTGTATTATGTAAGGCTGTCCTTTCTCATTTTTCCTCCTCAAATTTGTCATTGATACAATTATCGAACACTCACTATGAGCCTCTAGTGCATGTGTGATCAAAGTTCTCCCGAGTAAGCAGACGACATAGCTCTTCTTGCCTCTGACACCGTGGTAATGCGAACAATATCACGTGCGCTTCTGAATTGCGCTCCATATTACTATACAGATCAGAAACCTGACCACTACTTACCGAGCACTTCAAGAGACTTTCACTGTTTGAGCATCGATGTCTTCGGAGAAGGTGGGAATATCGAATCAGTAATGTTGAAGTACATCGAATGGTTTTCGGGAGAAGTAAATCGCCTGCGACAGCTGAGCTGATCATACTGCGCGGGTTGCGCTCGCTTAGCCATGTGCTCCGCATGGTAATCAATTGACTTCTTTGAACGGTTCTTTCCGCGCAACCGCGCGAAGGTTGCCGACGAGCCTGGGGTTGTCAACAACGACTTGGCAGCGAAGAATGGAAGCTATTACCAGAAAGCTCTGTTGTGATGATCATTGCCGTCTCTTCCGGGAGACGGGACACATCAATGGTTAGAGATATTGTCAGACATGATTCAGTCGTACCATCAAAAGCGTTCGTGCTTCCAAGGTATGGCCTTCAGTGCATAGCTCCCCTTCCAATCTCCCTAATGAGAAATCCACGGACAACACTGCATTCACGCATCAACTATATCAGCTACCTCCTCCCATGCACAGCTACTCAGTCCACCCCCTGAAGCCACTGGTGAACGAAACTGCGGTAACTGAAACCACCGTACGGCAAGTAGGCGGTTCTTCCTGGTGATGACGAACAATCGCTTAGCTGTATCGCAACAGTTATTCTCATCTTCAAAAAGTATACGCAGACGCTGTGTGTAAATCACCGTGGCATCGAAGGTACTCTTTGGTCTTATTCTTGAAGGTTGAGTGAACACGGGGAGAGACAGACCCATAACCGATTTAGGCTCCGTCCTGCAAGACGATGCATTGGTCATATTCTCACTCTCCGACAGATTTCGGAACAGCAACACTGATTCTAGAAACCAACAATGGTTGTGTTCCTTGACTTGAAATCTACCTTGGGCTCTGTGAACTGTCAAGCACTCAAAAGTGTCCCTCATAAATTCTTGACCCTCAAGGTGCTGTACGCCAACTCCTGCGGACGTGCGAAGGTCTCATCTGAGGTTGCTACATCAAGCTGTATTATGTAAGGCTGTCCTTTCTCATTTTTCCTCCTCAAATTTGTCATTGATACAATTATCGAACACTCACTATGAGCCTCTAGTGCATGTGTGATCAAAGTTCTCCCGAGTAAGCAGACGACATAGCTCTTCTTGCCTCTGACACCGTGGTAATGCGAACAATATCACGTGCGCTTCTGAATTGCGCTCCATATTACTGTACAGATCAGAAACCTGACCACTACTTACCGAGCACTTCAAGAGACTTTCAGTGTTTGAGCATCGATGTCTTCGGAGAAGGTGGGAATATCGAATCAGTAATGTTGAAGTACATCGAATGGTTTTCGGGAGAAGTAAATCGCCTGCGACAGCTGAGCTGATCATACTGCGCGGGTTGCGCTCGCTTAGCCATGTGCTCCGCATGGTAATCAATTGACTTCTTTGAACGGTTCTTTCCGCGCAACCGCGCGAAGGTTGCCGACGAGCCTGGGGTTGTCAACAACGACTTGGCAGCGAAGAATGGAAGCTATTACCAGAAAGCTCTGTTGTGATGATCATTGCCGTCTCTTCCGGGAGACGGGACACATCAATGGTTAGAGATATTGTCAGACATGATTCAGTCGTACCATCAAAAGCGTTCGTGCTTCCAAGGTATGGCCTTCAGTGCATAGCTCCCCTTCCAATCTCCCTAATGAGAAATCCACGGACAACACTGCATTCACGCATCAACTATATCAGCTACCTCCTCCCATGCACAGCTACTCAGTCCACCCCCTGAAGCCACTGGTGAACGAAACTGCGGTAACTGAAACCACCGTACGGCAAGTAGGCGGTTCTTCCTGGTGATGACGAACAATCGCTTAGCTGTATCGCCTCTTGGGTGCGTAGCTGCCGTGCCACCCAAAGATTACCCCAGCCTAGGCAGGAGAAGGTGAGATGCTTAGGTTGGACTCGAACAGAACCTTCCAGTCAGGAAGTCTGAACATCAATTCCTGCGCTACCTGGAGCTGAAGCGTCTGCGAACTCGATTTCCGTACAGTCAGATTGCATCCCGTCGTGCTTCCGGATGACAGCGGTGTCCTGAAAAGGGCGCCATATTTGAACAGCTCGCTGTCAAGTTTACGGGGCGGCGACTCGTCTTCCTCTGGGATGGAGTGTTGATTTTTTCGTGGTCGGGCTCAACTCACATTTCCTTATCGTCTTCAAGTTTTGAGCTGCTCCCATTAAACGCAGTAGTGAGTAATGTCATTGGTCCCATATTCTTCTATGCGCGACTGATCTACTTATTTTGACTGGATCGCGCTACTCCGCAGCACACTTATGAAATTAAACTTCACTCGTGATTCGCCACACCGGAAAAGCTCTGTTTCGACCGAGCTACGAGCGGCTAGGGAGATTGTGCCAGTTCAATTTAAGCCTTACAGTTTCTTGTTCCCACCGCATACACATGTTTTCCTACCTGCACAAGTACGAAAATCAGGTTTATTTTATATTACTTACAAGTAGTTTGTAGTAGCAGGCGGCACGGGGTCTTATTGGAGAAATTCGGGTACGAATGGTCTAACAATTGTGGTTGACAATATAGCGGGATGTTGGTAGCTTGATGGTGCGTTAGTTGGTTGTAGATAAGGTGGCCATTGATCTGTTCATCAAGCTTGACAATTTGGTGCAAACATTTCTTCACCAATCGTAGTGGCGTTATCAGCGCACGGTTGGTTGGGTATTTCCCTCATATCTGCTTGTGATTGTTAAGTCCACGAGAGGGTGTTTTGTACCTCCTAATGTAGTTGGCTTGTTGAGGAACAGCTTTATCGTAATTTCACCGGTCCTTCCACGGTCCTTGCTGCATTGTGACCAGGACACCTAGTGTTTGATTGGCTTGTTGGACAGTCCCTTTCGGATAGGTTGAATCGCAGTTTCGTTCACAGGTTGTTCTGCTTTTTCAGTTTTTCTTCTTCCGAGTTGACTCTTTAACCTGGTGTCTTATATTTTTATGAGTCTTCATTCTGCCTTTTGGTGGACTCATTTCAAAAGTGCATTTCGTTGTGGTTTGTTTTTCCTTGGGTTTGGTTTCTGACTGTTGTCTGAGTTTGGTTGGTTAATCCAATGCCTTTCCATGTTCATTTCGGTCCTTTGATCGGAGGCCTATTCCAGTCCATCTGGCGTTATCACTAGGTCCAGGCTCTACAGGTTTGTTCCGTAGGCCTAAGATTATCTTGTCTTCAGTAACTGGTAAACTGGGTCAATTTCAATTTGTTTGTTGCCTCTCTTCATTGGGGTGCCATGCTTCTATGCATGTTCTTGTTCTGTCCTGCGTTAGTATGCGAACGTGCTTCCAGTCGAGTTTGTGTGCCCCTCAACCAGAAGATCGATATTCTTACGGCACTTGTGCGGACCATGGTCTCCCTCGGTTTTTCCTTCGAAAATAATGCCTGATATCAAATACTTACTGAAACTTGCGTGAGTAAAGTAGTTGGGACTCTCGAATTATTCATTGATTTATGCTTGCAATCATTGTTTCCTTCGAAGTCTAGGACCCCGGCATAGTTTCGGATGTTAACCGAACAATTCAAGACCTTGAATGTAGTCTGAAGACTAGAACCTTGCTCGTCCCGTGAGCTCCGACCTTTGTGGTTTGTAAATTGGCCAGAACCTTCTGTTCATTAAGTATTCTGAATAATGTTTTAGACTAGCACATTTCAAGTTTTTCTTCAAGGAAGGCCATCGGGGTTTTTCTTCGTTTCATCGTCCCCCGTATTTGCAACGTTGGGAACAACCTAAGGGTCGACCCCAGGACGTTCACCCAGACGCCATAGGTCCACCGAATTCCATCATTTCATCAACATCATGACCTACGCTTTCAAACATGGATTTTTTTCATATTACTTAGTCATCAATTCCGCCAGCACCTTCACAAATAGCCATTATCTCCGTAAAGCACTCTGTGAAATTCTTTCAATAGTGAACTTTCATGGTCTACACGACCCTGTGGTCTGAACACTGCCGATAGCCTCTCATCATTGGCACTAGATACTACCTCTGGTGCCTCGGTTTCTTTCAGTCTTCTAAAACTTAACTTTCACATTACAACCTTTGGCGTGATCGGTTATTTGCACCTGTCAACTGTCCGTAGCAACACTTGATATCATGTCCCTTTCGAAGATCAGGTAATCTGCCTTTTTGGTAAGTTGCTGGTGACTGGAATACTTTTCCGGCGCGCCTCCAGGAACCACTGTGTCTTCTAAATTTGGAGACACAATCACAAGGACTACTGAGCTTATTTCTGACGCCCACACCTTGTCTGCCGCTGTTTGTAGGTATTCTTTTTCTGAGCTAAGCGCTATGGCGAAAACCAGGCAACTGAGAAGTATCGTGATTAGGTACCCTGACTTCATTCAGCTGAATTCTCCGCATCTTCTCTCCATGGAATATAAATGGTCCCAACTGAACCATGTGAACGCTGACCGTACTGTTCTAGTGCCACAGCCGTTGATGTTGGTTGACGGTTGAGTCGATGTTACTGTCAGAAGGCGCAATTTTCTCGGCTATCATCCCGAAAGCAACTCATATCGGGGTGTAAATGCTCTTGGCAACGTTTTTAGGATCCCAGCTAGGCTTGCTTTTTTGTGAGGAGGGAGACCCATGGTAGAAATTTCCAGTCATTCAAGTCACCCACTTAGAGAATTTGCTTACTGAAGGAGGCAACTGTATGCAGTGAATTTCGGGCTGCTCGATTGTGATTGTATGAGCATGAAGTAATCTACTACTAGTACCGTTTATTTTTGAAGAGCATGGTTACAAAACTAAAAAGTAAATGCAATAAATGTGGAAGCGTTACAGGAGAATATTAGATAAAACGGGGAAAGCGTCTCATTCAGAGGTGTGCTACTAACCGTTCCAGTCAGGCAAGATGAATCCCAACGTATGTAAGATGTTTGAAAACACGTGTGTAGCTAGAGGCAACTGAAGAAAGAAGAGCCAGTACTCTTCAAGTTTCGGTAAGCGCTGGCACAGACAAGACTCACACAAAGCGTCCGTCATGCTGGGTCAGGCGTGAAAGTCAACATCGTAATCGATCACATGTAGGGCTGAGATTGTGACAGGGAACATTCCTTAACACCATACTCCCGGTTCTTCTCATTCCACACAGTCACTCCGAGCCCATCTGAGACTTTGCTTACGTCTGTCACAGTTTCTCGGTGCTTCCGAACAGTGATTATGTCAGGTTTGATGGAAGACATCGACGTAGGTACTCTTAACTCCTCGAAGACGGTGTATTCTTATAGGACTGTGCGATGTATTGAACTAAGGATGAGGGTGCTTCAGACATCTCGGAAGATTTGACAGTTGTGTTGTGCGAAACCGGATCAGATGCTCTCGAGATATCAACAAACGTCAAAATGAGGTTAGACGCAGTCGCTGAAGAGTGACGGGGCAGGACATGTAACAGCCCGATGTAATGATCTCGATGTAGAAATGTAAACTGATGTGAGGGAAGTTGCAATCCACGGCTCCAGAAATCAGCTAGCTTCTTATAAAAGCGCCGGACAAGGATGGATGACACGGAGATCGGTCTCAGTCGGTCCGGTGGAGTCAGATTGCGGACTTTCAGAACTAGGGTAACACGAGCACGACACATGCGATGGACAACCCCCAGATAATAAGGGTAAGCTTAAATACCCAGCGAGGACGTTGGTATTGAACCGGCTAAGCATCTTGGAGGTGAAATTCTCCAGGCCCAAGGACGAAATTCCAGTAAACGGATCGTATGTCATTCTCGCCTGTAATTGGCTTGACCAACCTCCAATAGGATGGTACTACTGCGCGACTTGGCCGGCTATCCACATGTTTTAGAGCTGAGAGCACCTGTTTTCAATACTGTTCGGTCCATGACCCATCAAGCACAGCAGAGGCTGCATCTTTCCGTCTTTGGTGGTATAGGGTCTGGATCGTGATGTCGCTGGCTCGGCAAATCTGATCTCGGTTGGTTGACTTCTAGCTGATGATGGCGTCGGGAGACAGGATTCCATGTGTGTGGAAATGTCTTGTAGGCATTGATGTCCAGAAGCGACGGTACTTCCTCCGGTGTCATGATACCTGAAGGTCAACAATAGCAAGCGAACTGTCAAGATGGGATTCCAAGAGTGACACGACGCAATCCATGGTTTGTTAAAATCAGACGATATAGTCATCAGCTTCTGACGACTAGGCTGCTGTTTGACGGATGATTAGTTAATGCTACCAACTGATGATTCGTCCTGTTGTGCTTGCCAGTTAAGCACCCGTAACCTGGTTTCGGTGCTGATAGCCGATCGACCAGGAAAATATGCTCCGATCCCGCGAACAGCGCTGTCACAAGATGGATATTAATTGTTAGCTTGTCTGCACTATGCCGGCTTGTGTGTGCGTGCCGGTGGTGTTGATTCAGGCCAATATTCGTCAAAAAATGCTGGAACAATCAGCGCAGGCCTATTCGGTGACCACGTTTGTGCCAACACTTCCATGGGCATGATCTCAACGGTGGACTATCAAGCCAGCTCATACTTGAGCCCCATGAGTCTCTCCCGTGTACTGATTGGAACTGGTGTGGAGGCGCCACATGATTCGTAGTATAAATTGTCGAAAGTAACCAGCACAATGAAACCAAACGGGGTGGTTGGCCCTGTCTGAATTTGCTGAACTCTTAGCTAACCCAGCACAACGAGTTGTGGTTCAGCGCGCCCACTACTACTACTCTACAATCGTTCTCTTTGATGAATTGCTCACTTGGGTCGCCAGTCAACTTTTGAATCATAGGTTGCTTGCTTCATTGCTAGACATTAGGCTACTGGGTGGAGAGATCTTATTTACTATCTCGCTTCCTTCTGATCGTTTTTCCCTGTGATTATTCCCAAGTCACTTGTTCACATTGGTTCCCTTGTGAACAGTGACGCTGTCATCTGTTCGTATGTAGTCTAGTCACCGGGGTGCCTAAGAAAAATTAAGTTCTCAGGCCTGGATGAAGCAGCCCCTCGGATGACAATTTTGATCGTTATCGTATATTGTTACCCTAGGAGTACTGAATATCTTAACTATTCGTCGTGTTTCTGCGGAATAATTTCCATTAGTGACTAATTTTAAGGGATTTTTTGGAGATACAAACTAGTTTCCTATTTAAGTTGAAGTCGGATATCATTGTACTGAGCCTTTTGAGCCTACTGTTTTTCTGTGTTTCCTCAATGGGTTCATCTGATTTGCTCGGATGCGGCTGACCAATAGTAATTACTTTACGCATCGATAAAGGTGTTGTTTCCATCTCTCACTGGTGCGACGCAGCTGCTGGATAGAGAAAATCCTATGCTCATATGTCTTTCTTCGTTTATCTTATCACAACGTATATTATTGCCTTGTATCTCAGTCCAACTCTCCTGCTAATCTGGGGTATCGTGCGCTTAAACCGTACTAACATATTCCATTATATTTTCATCTTAGTGTCCGTCTTTTTATGTAGGCCAGAGGATTCCAATAATGATACGTATAACGAAGGATTAAGTCCTCACATAATTTCCTCAGGTAGTAGATTACAGGAGGCCTTCTGTACCGAACAATATTGGTTTGCTGACTTGGAAAGTAAAGTGATGATGAAATAAGTTCAAGTAGAACATAAGGTTAACGGAAACTCGGGGACTGCGCCTACCTGATGAGCCCCAAGCAGGGCGAAGCCGGTCGTGGGATGTCGAAAAGGTTTCAGCAACCTTGTGAATAGTTTCCTTTATAAGTTGCCACCTTTTTGGGTTGTTGTATCAACATCCTTCCTGGTGTAACATTTTGTCGTAGATGTTGAACCGGATTTTCAGCGCACTGGCCATTCAGTGCATTGATACGAATAACCATTGAGTACATCTCTTTAATGCTATTTATCGTTGTGCTGAGAGCGAGTACCGCTTGTGACGCCAGCATACCAGAATGGCCGGTAAAATCTCGCTGATGATAAAAAAGGGTATTTGCAGACCCAGTTCTCTTTATCTGTTAGAGATATCTCACAAACCACAACGAATCGTTCACTGCGTAGACCTTTGAACGTGGTTAACATCGTTTAGGTGTCATATTGAGGACATAAATCGTCGGGACAGGATTGACAGCATCATTCCGAGACCCATAGGTTGCTTGAAAGATAGATTCCAATTTCCAATGCTTCTAACCGTTGAAGAGACTTCTTGGGTCTGGACTTCTGGATCTGTTTTTATCGCCTAAGATTGTCACATCAGTTGTTGCAGCATGATGTTACAAGCAGTCTTCTTTATTGCAGCTATGGATTGATTGTCTCGAAGCCATGTTCGAAGTTTGTTCACTTTTTCTCCGCCTGTTTCTTTTGATTGGAATCAAACTGTCGGATGCTCTATTTGGAAGACTTTGCCAAACAGGGCAATGGTTCGCCCAATGGATGATTCAGTGGCCTTTTTGGTTTGGCGCACTTTTCCTTCAGGCAATCGGTAGTGGCTATCCGTTAATTATTATTTGGTTATTCATTCATGCTCTAGGTTTGGTCAACCAAACACTCCGTTTACCGTTTCGTCCCAAGTTTCGCGCTGCAAAGAAATTCGGGTTGGTTATTCTTACTCGACTACCAGTTGCTGAGCAGGCTGCTGTATCTGTCAAGGAGGAAGGAGCCTCGGATAATCTCTTACTCGCTATAAAACAGCCGGCTTTGTTTGAACGCATTCTAGTGGAACTCACCACCAATTGTGTCGTTCATTGGCTAACAACCCACTTGCCCGCCAAATGGGTTGTTCCACATCTTTACCTGGTTCACCATCGGACGTACACAAGTGCGTTCACTTTGAATGGGTGGTTGTCCATCCTCCCCAATCATTGGATGGCCAAACAGTGGTATGAAAGGCGCCCTGCTCTCGAGGTAGGTTGAACTTGTGATGGCGGGTGGTTGTACTTTCCGGTCATATCAATTGAGATGAAATTTCAATCGTCACGTTAATGATTAATCTCCTGGCTAATTGAGATATCCTCTGAACGTTTCGTTAGTTCCTAAGGGCCGCAACTCAGTCGGTTTAGTATAGAATGACCAGGATGCCGTATAGCTTGAAAAGCCTTTAGTACGTTGTTGCAAGATGCGCTTAGCCCACGTAGAGCTAGTCAGTGAATCATCCCTCTCTTCTATCCCTCAGTCTTCGAAACATTCATCCTCAGAGACGAACACATTCGCTAGTCCCGAATTACCGCGCGAACGTTCTTCGTCCATCCTTTCAATGGCACGATTCAATGCAAATCAGCGCTCTCCATGGGAAGACCCCACTACTTATTACTCTTCCCGAATGTTTGATCAGCTGCCAAATGATCATCTTGCTCAAGAGGCCTTCTTTGAACCGCATCTCAGCACTTCTATTAAGAAAACGGTGCACAATGTCACCGTGAATTATGTTTCCGTACCAGTGAGTTTCCGGTTTGTAAAATATTTTGATTTGAGCTGGGATCTGTGTCAGTGAAGTCACATGACGATACGTTGTGCTAATTCGTTTTCAATCTGAGATGGAATATGATATACTGGAAAATGTTTCATATGTTTTGTATTTCACAGTCCTGAACCTAAATTATTTATTTTATCCTGATCCAATCAGTTCTCAATGTGCTTTCTTGCGTTGCTCGTCACTCCACTTTACCATCTTTCGGCTACATCGTTTGTCCTAAACCTGCTTCGTTTTAGACTACACTCAACCTTAGAGGTTGGCCTATTACCCTCAGAGGAGCTCTCAGAGACCGGTCTTCTCCATAGAGCAAAGGAAGACGCATGTCCTTGGTGCAGTCACGCTTGCAGACATCCAAATAAACACTACGGTCCAGATATCCACAAAGTTACCCCCATAGTAGTAAAGGCCGTTCGCTCCAGGACGATTCTCTTCAGTAGAGAATAACACATGTATTTTCAATAAAGCACTGTAAATCAGCTTGTTGAAAAATAGAGGGGTTCTCATCCCCGAAACTTTCAGGTCTATTCTCTCTATGTGTATCTCAATCAGCTTTATCGTTCCGTGGTATAATTGGACGCTAATGCCGGCCTAGTTTCGTGAATCGCCCACGTGGCAACCCCACGTCGAGTTGTATTGCACCATGGACAGGCTTTTCATATGTGATGCTGTACGCTAGCATATATGAGTTGAACCTATCAGACTTTGTACCACTTGGACGAGTCAGACGGTCAGTTGACTTGGCGCGTCCCGTTTAATCATTATCTTTGGTGATTTTTCTACTCCCTATACGTCATGATCGCACCGGAGAGCACTTGATCGTGGTTGTCAGCTTGGCAGATGGATTGCAAACGTTTCGTCATCAATCGAGGTGACATCCTCAGTATGGGGTTGAATGAGCCTCACCCAACTGAAGACGTCACCTCGATTGGTGATGAAATGTTTGTAACCCAATTGCTAAGCTTCACTAACAGATCAACAACCAAACAGCCTGTCCGAGCTACCTGGTCTGTCCATTAAAGGTGTTATCCCAAGCAGCTTAAATCGTTCACAAGCCGTCGGAATTGGCCATTCTTCTACCTTGTTACCATTGTTGCGGTCGGTCATGCGCTACGCATACCGAGGGAAGCGTTGTTTTTCACGCCGAACTCTGAATAGTGGCAACCTGGAGACAGGCAGAGGAGAACGCAGGCAGGTTGTTATGAAAATTCTTGTGCTGTTGGTGCAACCTGCCTTCCAGGGTATCTCTCAAGTACTCCTCTTCGTGTTTGGCTGGTGATACCAGAAGACATCACTACTAACCAATATCAGCTACATCGATGCTGTCACTTTCTAGCTGGGTTGTCTAGCTAGGTAGTTTTGTGTGTTTAGGCGCCCCTGGTGCTTGCGGATATCTAGAACTAGCTCACCCCCATCCCCCTGTTTTCTCTTCCCAGTGGAGCATGCGGATGATACCAGGCATTCATGTGATCGATGTCTATTTCTTTCATACTATTTTTATTCCAGGGTCTTGGGTTTTCAGCTCTCCTGGAAGTTGGCCTCAGGGCTGCCCTACGCTCCAACTGCGACTATGTCATCGTTTTAAATCCTCGAGCCCTGGGCATTCGACCGGAACACTTATCAATCACAACTCAATTGCTTTCTGGTCGGTCAACGAAAGGAAGACGTGCTGATCGGGTGAGTATCAAGATTCTTCTCTTTCCATTCAACTGATCATGACGTTTCAGAACCAGCAGTCATATTACATTGAGGCTGCACATGTTTGATGGGGCTCTCCCTCTAGGGTTTGGTAAATTTATGTTTGTTGTAAATGGTCGCGTGATTAGTAGAGTTCTCATTCACATCACTCTTGTTTAGACAGTCTTATTTCAATCCTGGCGCAATTATTCGGGTTTGTCCACACAAAACTAGGGAGCAACGGACCCGAGTTTCGCTTGTATTAGACCTCATCAGTATTGCATATCCGTGATCGTGCCCCGATTTGCGCTCCGGACATCTGACAAGTGAGGCGAGCATTTTTAACTTACTCCACCAGCGCACATTGGATGCTGACTTCACACAACTGTGCTAGAATATCACCTAGCCTACTCACGCCACCAGCGAGCAATATCCGATTAGTGAAATTCGAGCCACATCTAACAGGCATGGTCAAACGAGCAGATTCGATTCGGCTGATTCTTTTGAGTATATTCTCATATCCGAATAGCTGGTATAATGAGTAATTCAGTGAACCTTCAGCCGAATTCATCAACGCAACCAATTCGCACTGAGGAGAGAAAAGGCGCCTGTTTCAATAGATATGGTTGAAAGAGGGACTGAGAAACGACTGTTTAACCGTAAATGTATTGATCGAATCGATGAATTAGTGGAATAAGAAAATAGGTGTATCTCTACCACAGGGCTCTCCGAGATTAGTAACATGACAGTGATTGCATCTATGATGATCTTTCACTTTCGTCTGCTGGTCACACCGAAATTTTATATTGCCTTTTAAGTCTCTAGCGCTCACTTTTACGTTGACCAGAGTCAAGCCACATGTTCCAACAGGTGTGGGCAAAGATTTACGAATTGAGTGATTCAGCTGTTAATAAATGAACAATTGGGTTATTCCGTAAAGTAATGGGAAACAGTTGATCAAACAGTCGGTACACATCTTCCAAAGCCCAGTCCACTCATCAGGCACTATTGTCTAGCTGGTTTAAAGTCCCTAATCCAACGAACCATCACAGTATTGTCCGTGCCGATTGAAGCTTCTTTCCACTTTAATCAGGTTTTTCATTACTAACCTTATTTCTCCTCGTTCCTCTAGGTTGATATCGTTTTAGGGATTACAAGACCCTATTTTCAGTTGATGGCTTCCAAAGCAAACTCGCCCAGAAAGCTTTCCGGCTCTCCCTTGTCCTTGTCACATACAATTTCTTCGTCGCCTGTGTTCGCAAGTCCCACTGGCCTTTATCTACTTGGAATCCGTGGAGGTCAAAACTTAACATTGCAGGCTCATTCGCTGACCAATGCAGTGGAATGGTGTACTTCAACTGTGGCTGGTCGACTATGGGCAAATTTAACTCGCAACGCAATCCCGTGGACGGTGGTTTGCCTTCGTGAACGTCTAGAGGAAGTGAGTTCTTTTTCACTAACTATCCAGATCAGTCGGTGCTATTGTGCTGAAATAATCTATAATGTGAATCCCTTGTATGCTGAGACTTTTAAACGAGTTGAGCAGATGAGCAGACCTACCTAGTGTTACAGATTATAATCACAGTTAACAGTATCTTTCTCGGGTAAGATAGTACTTTGATAATTATTACCGAAAAGAATAGCTGGTACTCAATCATACCCTGCAACGAGGTATGTGAATCACAATGGACGGAATATCTCTTTCGACTTCATCTTCGTATGTATATAAGGTAAGTAAATACGAAGGTATGCTCAATAGTTAGATTGCCCGGTCGGGATAGTTAGCTCGGTAGAAGTGAAGAGGAAGACAGTCACACTAGCGATGATATTCGATAAACCCAGAAGTGGGCATTCACCGGAACAGGGATCTTACAGTAAGAATAGGTTCAAACCTTCTACAACAGGCGTTGATTGGTTACCGATAGAACTGCGGTTCATTCCATCCACAAGCACTCGCAAGCGAGCTGAGTTACTTGCTGTCTCATCGGGTTGTTGTCACCATTGGCATCGTATGTCCAGCCGGTTAGCTTTCGGAGATACCTGCTGTGGACGGAGGGCCAGAAAGATTATTTCATAAGCTAAGCAACCTATTATTAATTGTAATGTACTACTCATAAGGTTGTTGAAAATCCATCGACAGCCCACGACCGGTTTCGCCCTTCTTGGGGCTCATCAGGTAGGCGCAGTCCCCGAGATTCCGTCAACCTTATGTTCTACTTGAAACCAAATTGCACGAAATTAGCGAATATACACTCATCTGCAAACTAATTTGGTTCTTTCGAGAGCCTCACCTGGAACCCAGCTGAATCTCTCGTTTATGTTGAACAGTTTTAGCAGTGTCTCGAAAGACCAAATTAGTTTGCAGATGAACCTATTATTAACTTATGACTTAGACAAGAGGTCCTGCTTACACCTCATCTTTGACAAGTCTCCGGAAATCTTCAGGCTCGATGGGATACGATGATGACTAGGGTTTATTATTTCGTTGTCATACCTGCTTCGGTTTCCATCATCGCCTGTGACTGAAGACCATATAGCCCTACTTCTCTTCGTGACGTAACAATTGGCAATGAAGTTCTTTCAACCCTACGATATAAGACTGAACTGAAGATCTACATGATCTGCGATCCAACGTCTGCAACCGGCTTTTGTTGAGTGAGGAAGACGTCGCAGTAAAGCTCCGTGTTATCAACCAACTAAAAGTGGCACAGCTGTCATAACCGACTCCTTTAGTTGATTGATGTCTTACAAAATCAATAACAGTGGTCCTCTTGATCAAAGGTCTCAAGCATAACGGCCCAACTGGTCTGAGTTGGTGAATGATCTCCGTGGGATTGAAAACCCTAAGGGCAAATAATAATAATACAGTGACATATCGGAGCTAATGCACTACTATTCGGACCTTATCCGCTGTGTCCGATAATGTTCCACGTTCATATAGTTCTCCAAACACCTGCTATTGTATCGTCACATCCTCACCTGGTAGAGTGCTGTGTTCTTGTAAGCAGCATTCTCATTCCTATCCTATATCGGCAAGTTCATTCAGCGATAAACGTCGCATTCCAAGTTTCGATGGATTTCTAACTTGTGCCTAGGCTTTTGATGGTACAAAATTTACCGGATCCGTGCATCAGAGTTAGTAAGATGAATTATGACGTCACTGAAAGACAGAAACACGTCATCAGTAGAAAGAAGAATATCGTCCACTGAGTGTGATAAGTCAAGTAATAATGTTTTCCAAAGAATTAAGGAATTTCTCAAGAGTCTAGCCTTTTCTCCGAGTGGGATCATCCACTTAATCGTGCTTTTTGGATAGAGATGTTTTGTATTCCTCAGGGGAATGGTACCTTTTCTGCGAAGTCTTTCGTGAGAACATCGTCGTGTGACAATCGACGTCACTGTTTTAAGATGTTTTCAACAACCCTGGATTTCCGTTCACGTGTCATACATAAAATCATGGGTGATGATAGCAGTAACTCCACAAATTAGTAGCTTAGGTGAGTTTATTGGCTGTTACTCAACAGCCGATGAGGGGTAATGGTGTCTTCACTGTACACTTGTGGCTGAAAAGTTTGGGAACCACCTATCTACACAAAAATTCAGAGATACCCGACTGAACCTTACAGTCTTCTCACTACCTTGTAATTAGTTGGGTCAACACTCATACGTAACGATGTGTAGCAGGCGTTTGAGATCATATTTCATTATTGCTGTGCAGAAATCCTAAAGAGAAATCATAATTAATAAATGTAATGTATAATATGTATATATATATTGTACAATAAATATAATCAATAAATAATTATTCTTATAATGGAACACTGCAAAATCAGTGGACTAATTCTCCCGATGCCCAGAAATGATGTCCACAACGTTTTAGGAACGCAATAGGCCGTTCTGATTTAAGATGGTCCCCATCGGTTACTTGTTCTTTCGTCAATTGTTCTTTTTATTAATGAAACGAATCCCTACTCACTAGGGCTGGGAGGACATCACCGGTTTCACGCATGATGAACTTATTTGGTTTTCACGACTGCCATGTTCTTCGTATTCCAGTTGATGCAACCGCCTGATCTGTTGGCCTTGGAAACACATATCGGCATCCCTCCGGGGCAGTTTCTTGAAGACAAGATTACTGTAATCATTTCGATGGGACCAGGACATCCGGATGATTGTTTGGACGCGGAAGAAGACTCTGATCTAATTTACGTCAGTACTTCCAGGGCTCTTGATTCTACGCTGGAACTCATGGTTCATAATGCCTCTGGTAGTCGTGCCATTGAGGTAATCATTTTTCGTCCACTTCGCATCCGTTCTTTAATGTCAAACTAGCCAGTGGAAAGTATGGAAAAAAAACCTGACTTTTTGAAATCTCCCTCCCAACTATTCGACATCTCTGAGAGCCTGGGCGCTTTACTATGCTATCATGAACAACAACCCTCAAGATAGACTTTGCCTAAGACAGTACATGATAGCTTTACTTGTCAGTTACAGCCTAGGGTACAACCGCCCAGAAGAGGGACCATTCGTAGGAGGTGCTGAATGTATCTTTTTTGATGGTGCAACATAATACCCAAAATAACTGACACTAACGTTGCGTTGCCTTCTAAGTCACGTTGAATCGTAATGCTTAGATCGGAGCGTCAATCTATAGACCACTTTACCACCAATTGAGTGTGAAGATGTTTGGCCATGACGTTCGGAACCTCGCTACGCCGTGCTTTAGCCTGAAACTTTCCACTCTATGCATCACATGGCACTCAGTTTGTTAAATAAGATCCAAACTGCGTGTGACCCCGGAACTCTTGAGTCTTGTCAACAATCGATTTGTTGGTTTTACAACGCCTAGTACTATTTTAGTTCTAATCCGTGAGCAGCCAGTCTGGTATCAAGCTCGGCGAGCGTATCGAATATCCGACACGGTGTTTCGCTAGCGTGGCATATTGTGGTGAATCATCGGTGTTAGGTCTGGGGACATTTACACATGTACGGGGCTTATTGTGAGGTATCTAGCCTCAGACTGACTATTTTCGGCTCCTTTGCACTTCAGACTTCGACGGATGGTCACGTGTGCTGATGTATCGTCAGCAGATGAGGAAGTCCAAAGTACGGTGCAACTTTCTCGCATAGCAAATAGTGGTTTTTTGAAGTGTGTGGGCTCACTGCTGCAATATCATAACACAAGGACGAACGGTTGTTACTGTGGGATTCTCAGTCTCATTTGAAATTGAATAACTTCCTCTACAGTCGTAATCGTTTCTCGAAGTTCTACTCTCTTGTTCTCTACCTCCTTTCCAAATTTCGTTTCAGTTATGGTCGCTATGTCCTGAAGTTCCTCATTGTCTACTGGGACATTAGTAATCGTGCGACATCTGTGTGGACAGCATTAATTTGTTGGGCATTCATTACAGAGAGTTGTAAACTTCATATTCTATATACCAAGCTATAGTTCGGAACAAAATTTATATGTGAACTACTGAGTGGTTTAGATGTCAGATATCAACTATGAGTGACTTGGAATGGTTCTAGCTGACGTATTCCTTCACTGACAAATCGCAAGCTTGATGGGTTTAGTCGTAAACTATAGGTCACATCCTCATGCATCACCGTATAGCAACGATAATAATAGCACACTGAATGCAGAAATAGGCCTAAACTAAAACTTTCCCATTCGTATGATATGATGTTTCAGTGCACTTTGTCAGAGGGCCCGATACAAATGATGCTAACTTATAGCTTTGTCGTGTGTCTGCAAAAGCGGTGTTTTAAAGTTCAGGTTTGACTCATAAAAATACATAATGGGTTTTCTATCTCAAATAAAACGTCCAGAATTTTTACGGACCGACATTTTATGGTTAATTCAGAACGCGGGTTTACTAAGTCCCGCTTGCACATGATCTCGTGCTGTGATCTGACTGGAGAAACGTCCAGTCATAATTGCATGAAATTCGAAGTATATTCATTTGCACACCAATTTGGTTCTGACAGGAGACTCATTTGATCGTCACCTTTAAAACTGCTCCCTAAACGTATCTGCGCAAAAATGTGAACCTTGTGGAGTTTGGACTAGAGACCGAGCGGTCTGAGTGAAGTGCGGAAAGCAAAGAGTGGAATTTGCTGGTTACTTGACACTTATGCTCCTAGTTAAGCGTTTACGTGATTTGTGGGATTTCCCTTCAAACGATAGAACGTCTGCTCCTCTGCTTCGGTATATCCTCATGAATCTATTCGTTTTTCCCCGTCTTTTACAGATCATAATCATTCACAGTGGCCCGATTTCGACGTCTTCGCTCTCATCAAGCCCTACAGAATCGTTTCAGTTTGGTAGGACTCGTTTACGCCCTAAGATCACAGTCTCCCTTCATCAATACGGTGGGCTAGGTGGAAATGATATAACTACAGTCCCCCCAAAAAGAGGCGAATTAATCCGGTATGCCGTGGACAATCTGGCCAGAGGATCGATTTTAGTGTTCATTGACCCGGGTAAACTCTTTGTTGTTGTTGCCATCCAACATTGACTTGTCGTAGTCCATGGAAAAGATTTGTCGTGCAGTTCCATAACCTCTAACAGACCACCTCCGAAAAGAGTTCATTCTTTAATCAGTTGGTGTGTTCTTTTCTTTATGGGGATCCTTCCCGGTTCCAAAGTTTGTACATACAGGAGTATCTCAATGTTGTTCGTGTGAGGAGATCTTTGAATCTTGACACATGAGTTGTGAAGGATGAGTGGTGGTACATCCTTTACAAGTGAGAAATAATCACGATGGTAATCAGTCGCTCATTCCCGAGTGATCAGCTGTTCAAACCACTAGCCGGAAGTCGCGGATTCGAGACTATCTGTAGTTTCATGAGACTGATATTGAAACAGCTGTACGGTGCCCCAGCATAAACTATCTTCGCTTACTGAACGAAATTTCCATCAATATCTCATCAGTATAATCAAAACACGAGAACCACGCTGTGCCTTTTTGGTCGCCTTTGACTTTCGATCTTATTGGTGCCTCATTAATCCGTGGTTCTTTCTGTTGAGGGTTTAACCAGAATTCTGATTGTATGGTCTAGCGAATCTTTAACTCATATTCTGACGAACAAAACTGTTGAAACTTACGGTACCACCGAACTTGGTATGGTCGAATTTCTCCATGAGCGTCCGTCACAATGTTGCTGCGCAGAAAAAAATCGCTCAGCTGGAGCACCCTTCCGGTGCCTAGCTGCCATGCCACCCGGATGAAGCACGAGGGCTGGGATACTGCCAGGTTGCCCAAGCCTAGACAGGGGAAGTCGAGTGCCAAACGTCGGGTTCGGACCATGGACCTTCCGGTCGGTAAATTCGCGCTCTAACCACTTGGGCTATCTCGCCCCCTGCTGCGCAGATCCGCTCCATATACCTGTGTAACCGTGCTCATTAGGCCATCGAATAACGGGAAGCAAGTTTATGGTTCAACTTATGGTTCAACTCGTTAGCTCTTAATCCTCCGTATTGAGAGTTAATTGCAAACTCACCTACTACTCCTCAGCAACATTTTTACAGCAATTTACCATTCTGTTTTGTTTGTTCTTACAGGTGTTCAGCTCCCTGTCAACTGGGACTCCGCCGTGTTTCACAGTCTTCAACGTCCCGGGGTTGGGATGGGTTGCTTTGCCTATCGTTTACACTTACATGAGAAGTATATCAATCGAAAGAGCATCAAGTGGGCCGTCAACAGTTGGTTGGCTAACTATTTTGTCAATGTTCAAACACGTTGGTGAGTCCGCTCGCCGCCATTCATGTAGCTGTGAATCAACCTTGTACAGCCTCCAAACTAGGGCAAGATAGGTCAACTTTCGTCTTGTCAACTCTGTTAAAAATTTTTATCTTAAATAAATTCTGAAGCGTCATTTCCGTCTTTGCCCATACAGGTCAGAACTCCCTATTGTCGGACAACCTTGCTTCATTTATGCACATTATTTGGCTTGTCTTGGTGGGTATCCGCGATCCAGCCGTGCTCTTCATTCCATTGATCTAGCTACGGCCTGCCACTGTCATCTTGGTCGTGTGGTGGTTACCCGATTTCACACTGCCGCGGCTGGAGTCCCAGCGGGATTCGCTCTCCGTCATGGGACATTCCGAACAGCCATCTACTCCGTTTCTATTGCTTTGGCCCGCTACTTTGGTGCATCCGAAGACGAACTGGAACAGATGTTGACAGCGAACTGGCGTAGGCGTCGTGGTCGAAATGGAGAGTATCAACCGATCCCGCGACATGTTTTACCACTTGTCCAACCTTACTACTTAGATGGCTATTAATTGATTTCATCACACTTTTCTAATATGCTTTCATTTTTTATTGATCTGTGTACTTCACCATGGTTGTTGCACGAGTTCTAGTCCAGAAACCATCTTTCATTTTTTGTTTAGTGATAGAATAAAAGTACTTGATTCACGGCTTAGTTTCCTAGAGGTCGAAAGCAGCTCAGCTGGTGAGTAGATTTCAGACACATTCACCCATTATCAAAAGTTCTCAGGATTGGTATAATTTGATCAGCTTCTCGGCTGCCAAGAAATAACGCTTTTTCCGGCGATGTTACGACCGAGACAATAACCGATATTTTCCCGTTAATCGCGTGACCGTCAGTTAAAATAAACTTGGCTGTTTGTTCGCAGAGCTTTGCAGTTAGATTGCAAACGTGGCGTCGTCAGTGCAAGGTTGATCGAGTGAACCACTCCTCTTCTGTCTGTGCATATATAATTCCTAAACGGTATCTATTTACTCCAAAGTGGCTGATTGGCGCCGAGATAGCTTTTGAGTAACCTGGTTGGTCAGCTTGGAATCTGGGTTGCGTTGTGACCTTATTTCCAGAACTTTGTTTGGTTCATTGAGCACCTTCACTTGGCCACATGGATACTTCAAGAGTTCATCTGAATAGGCCGAGTACATGATCGCCAGTTTTAGGAATGTCCTCATAGATATATGGTGTTTCCGTTTTGTCACTCAGATTGAGGTGTTTCCGGCCAATCCGTCGGGACAGTTCTTTGATCGTAACACATCTTTGTACCTCAAATACCCTGAAAGAGGAGATTAAACATTTTGGGCCTATTCCTTGCTCCCAGAGAGGTCCGAGGCTTAATCTGAGACTATCTGGGTTTCATTGGCTGACCACTTTGGTCACGTTGTCTCCAACACTTTCTACGGGTTTTTCGCAGGGAAATGGAGTCCAGAATGTAATGATCCCACAGTTCTGCTGGCCTTACTGTCTTGTTCAACAATTTCCAACAGCCCCCTGTCCTATAGGAGTTGGTCGTAATAGCCACCGGGTGAACTCCACGAGTAGAACAACTAGAACCACGAAAAAACAGGAAAATAGAAAACAAACTAACCTCTGTTATCTCAAGGAAGTCATTTGATTTGAGCAGTTTGAGAGTGAAGTCGTCACGAGTGGTTGGTTTGATTAATTGTGAGTCCTAACCACATAAATGACACTGCCAAGCCGCCATTTTGGCTGACACTGAGAGGTTTCACACTGCATTATCCTACCTACATTGAAAGCCCCGACCTCTGCCTCTCAACTTCCCTGTCTAGGCTTGGGCAACCTGGCAGTATTCCAGCCCTCGTGCTTCCTCCTGGTGTCGTAGCAGTATGGCAGCGAAATGGTTGTATGGCTGATTTTTTGCACGATTATGCTTGCCTTCGATACGTAAGCATGTCGGAACATGTTTGAATAGTTGCATAAAGATAACCTAGGAGACTCAACAATCCATCCAATCTTTTAGCACCACACCTGAAACTTACGTCATTACATTCAAGGTCGAGGAGAATCAGTAGACCACTGGAATACTCAGGCCGCGCGACCACGGAAGTATCATCAGTATTACGGCGTCGAATGTGCAGCGGGTTGCGAAAATTCTCCGTTCTCAATAACGATATATGCTAGGGCTGTACGACTGGGTGCTCCGTGGCTGCTGCTCATGTTCGATTACGCCAAATCTGATGGAATGCGAAAAAAATTTATCCTAGTCACATCTCGATTTTCGGCACTTTTCCTGGTTGCTCAGCGTAAGGTACAGAACCTCAACATTTTTATGTACAGTTAAGGCGCACCAAAAGTGAAAAACGTTTTATCACTGCGAAAAGTCATGTCAAGGCTGCCAGCCTAAACGGAAGAATGTTTTACCGTTTTCTAATGTGTGATATCCCTGCTTGAAATGTTTACAGTTCGTCGAACTAGTGGTGCAGCCAGTGACTATAATCCCTTTGGGCATTGCCGCTTGCCCCATAAAATTGTGATAGTATGTTGTCTTTTTGGATTCAGTGTGAACCAGAGAGACTTAGTAGGCATTGCTTGACTGCTTCGATATAGACACTCGTTTGAGACTGCTTTAGTGAGCGCAGCCGTTGACTTTTATCTCCTTTTGGGTCATTAATCTCACTGCTGAGATGCTCAATGACCTCGGTCTCATTCTTCGATCTGTCCAGTAGTCCGCTGATATCCGCTTTGCATCTTTGAGTGATCAGGCTGATTTGGTCAGACGTCTGATGCTCTGCGCCGATAAGTTTTGACTGTGTTGTTCTTCGGCATGATCGCAGAAAGTGGACAAGAGAAGGCCCAGGTCACTTCAGGGAACTCGTAAAATCTGCACGATGCATGTGTTGTTCGAATGTTTTGAACCTGATTGACCTGATTATTGACTGTGTCAGCTGACCGTTATCTTTAGAGCGTGAACCGACTGAACAATGCAATAAAAATAGCACAGTTGCTGGGTGAGTTTATTATGTATACTCGTCCGCTGGAAATCTTTTAAGACAGGTTCACACAAGATACATAATGAATTCTAGCTACAGTGAGATTCTCGGCTGGTAAACATCTTACGATACCCAAACATCTTTAGAAAGTGATAAACGGTTTGAGGCTAAGTTAGTTGTCTTTTTCAACTGCCCCGTTTACTTGTGAAACTACCAAGATGATGATACTGAAATAGGATTGGAGTTTCGTGGTGCTGAAGCCGGACAAATTCACGGGAACATCTGTTTGAAACAAAACTGACTACGTCAATCAGTTTGAGGAAGATTGTTCCACATAATCCCAAATTTTCTACCGCTGAACAATTCGGCAAAGTAGTACTGGCAGAAAAACGCACCATCTGTGACAAGACAACCAACTCTCTTTTTGTGGACATTTCAATCATAAAGTCTATGGTGATTCAGTGTCAACCTTCGTGCGCCGTAAATGCATCATCGGTCCAGTACAATACCTCACTGATACTATTTAACAGAGTCAAATAAACCTGCACGGTGGGTAGAGCGGGTAAGGAGATTCAGCTGAACGAAAGTATATGACGACTAATTATACGGGTTGCTTTTAGGAAAACCACTGACCATTTGACCCTGTAGATACTCACTTCAAAGAAGCCGATTCTTCTCTAAATAACCGTTGACCAGCGGTGGTTCATCAATTCTGTTTAAAAGGACATTGGGTGTGGCACGCAACTCAATTCCAAACCATGCGCAAATACCAATACCGTCAGTTAAGACTACCGAAGTCAGGGTGATTCACTAGCGTTTGCATCTACCAACTCATCTGCAGTTGTTTGAAACTTGGATGTGTAGAGCTGACCAAAGGCTTGAGACACGTACCAAGGAACATCTGTGCAAGTGAATCTGTGCGCTGATTCGTGATGCACTTTCAGGTAGATGGAAATTTAGGTTCATCGATCGTTTGTCGGCACGGTGTTGCCGTCAAATCATCATTCCGGATCGGTATGAGGCACGGCCAGTTAAAAATATTAAAACTTCTTGGAACAATATTGATCAGTCCATCGAATCTAGTTCTATGCTCTATGCTCATGTTCTGTGCTCATTTACAGCGTCACGTTACGTGAGACCTAATTAGGAATCTTCTTGCAGCCATAATCTGTTATTTCGAGTATGTCGCTCATTCTTATAAAGTGCACCAGATTCATTAATCCATTGGCTGCGATTTTCTCGTTTCACTGGTCATTACGAGTCAAAAAAGTGATCCAAATGTTTGTTCGTTCAACTCGGTTGATTTGATTGTTTGTGATACTTGCTGCCTGTGTAATG